ATCCATGTGGATAACATCATCTACCAATAGCTTGGGGTTCAGTCAGTACACAATCCAACCCTGTATAATATCCTTCATGTGTTCCAATGAGATTGAATACTCTTGTAGAGATTGTTCCCTTATACAGAGCTCAATGATGAAAGAGAATAGCATAATATTTGAATTTATTCCTTCCTTAATATACACTTTATGGCAGGAGATAAATATAATTTTAATGTAGTTTGCTTTAATTTATTTTTCAGAAAAAAGAAAGAAAAAAACAAAAACAAAAAGGCTTGAGCTTCCTTCAAGCAACAATTAAGTCACCTCCAGGTGATATCCATTGACAATATCACAAGATCTCAGCAATCTGAAGAGAAAACACTGTGGGTCATGGTATATCTGAAAACTTAAAATGTCATCATCACAAAAATCCACCATACTATTAAGAATTAGCTTCAGAGTTCTTTTTCTTCTTTCTTTTTTCCTTTTACTGTTTGCTGAGTTCATGTTGAGTTGATTGATAGAGCAACATATAATTCAGTGAATGAAAGGAAGACTACTGTGATTGTCTATTAAGTTGAAAAGCATCATCATAAGTGTCTGTTCTTTCCTTTAATTAAAGTATCATTTTCAGTTATAATACGAGGGTTTAGGGTTTAGAATTTATATAAATTCTTAAGTCTTTCCAAAACTTGAGAATTTACATATAGACCTTATAGTTAATCTTCATCAGTTGATTATACAAATAAAATATACTTTAAAATAATTATGTTGATAAAAATTGTAAGAGAATCTTTAGAAATTTTCATATATATATATATATATATATATATATATATATATATAATTTACTTGAGTAAATATTATATTATCATAGATTGACAATATCCCCTAATAATCATATTATTTGTTCTAAAGCTAATTAGTATTAAGCAAACTAGGAGTCAGGTTTGGAGAGTCGACCTGGGCCACAATTTTGGGCCTGTCAATACAAATATGCCCTAGTTCGAACCGCACGGAGAAGGGATTTCTACGACCGCTCGCGCCGCTCTTGTGGAACGTTTGGTTGCCGGGCGCCGCCAATTCCTTCTCCTGACGATGTCTTCTTCTCAGGGTCGACGCGGTTCGCTCCCGGGGGCCGGCCGCTCCGGTGATGGCGTCCTGGCGAGGGTCTCGAGCTCCATCTCCAACTCCCCCGTCGTCTACCGCGGCCGGCGCGCCGCCTCCGACGCGGCCACCGTAGCGAAGAAGCTCCTCTGGAGCACCGGCCGCGCCGCCTGGATCGCCGGCACCACCTTCCTCGTCCTCGTTGTCCCCCTGATCATTGAAATGGACCGTGAGCAGCAGATGAACGAGCTCGAGATGCAGCAGGCCAGCCTCCTCGGCGGGCCCCCGCCATCCTCAGTGGTCGGCGCCGTCCCGTCCAAGTAGTGAGGTCAGCAGGTCTTTCTTCCGATCTAGGGTTTGGGAAAGAAATGGTTTTTGCGTCTTGGATCTTATTTTTATCGAGCTTATAGGGTTTTGCTAGGGTTTTGGTCTGGAACGCCACTTTTCTAACTAAAGACACTTTCTAGTGATCGAATTGTTTCTCATTTTTGGGATATTTGCGTATTAAATTGTGATCTTAGCTATTGGAGGTCATTTACTTGACGAACTGTCACCTTTTCATTCATGTGATGATTACTTAGCTATCAAACAGTAGACTGGTTTTTGCTTAGAAAGAAAAATCTTTCTTCTTCAAAAAATTACATCTTGAGGCAATTTTTAATCCTATTAGTTTATTGGCTAACCTTTGTGTGCATTAGGACTTAGCATGCCATTGCCACTGAAAACTTTATAAGCAGGTATTTGCTTTAGCAGCAAATTGTATCTTCAAACTACTGGGATCTGTGAATATAGCAAGACATTTCCTTCGAGAATATGTACAAAATTATTAAGTCTGATGAGAATTTTGGAGCCATAAGAATGTGTACTATGCTCATGAAGAACCATCATGTACCACTTTTTGAAATGCATGTGGAGTATCTATGTCTTATCACTAAAGACTTGCTAAAGATGCATTTTCTCTACAAAGTAATTGCATTCTTCAGTTCTTGATGCACCTAAGAGACCATAATCAAATATTGATCGAGTTTGTTCAACCACATCTGATTAGAGTCATTGGACATTTGTTGGCTTGATAAGTTGCACTTGGATGTTCTTCAAGTTGATGCTAACATGTTGTTTGGTTTTGTTACATTTCATGTTCTTGAATGTACCAAAAGGATCCTTTCATTGTCCAAATTAAGTTTCACAAAATCTAGATTGAGAGACCAAATCTGTGATATGATTGAGGCTACTGGTCTCAGCCAGATTAGATCAATGAGATCAGGAACATTCATGAATTTAAATCATAAAGTACAACCATCTAGAACAAAATTCCTAAAAATAATTAAAGAAAAGTAATTAAAAATAATTAAAGAAAAGTAATCAAACTTATATATGCTAAAAGATTCTTTTGCCTTCATATTCCATAAGATATCTAATCTAAAAAATAATATAAAAGATGAAAACTGGACAAAAGAAATGACTTTGAGGTCATTCCTGAATCCTGTGGTATCTCACTTCTCTTAATGAGTTCCGTCAAGTGGTTAATCTTCCCTTCTCTTCCTACCTGTCTTCATACTCTTTCCTATCTGCCAGTAACGAATATCAAACTTGGTGGTAGTAATTTTCCTTTTTGCGTTTAAGAAAACAATCGGTTGTTACTTCTTGGCACATCTTCCAGTTCTCTTCGTTTTCCTCTTTTTGAAGTTGACAGATTGACTGGAATCACCCATAATCAGCTGATTGCTGCTAAGATTAACCGAGTCCAGCTGTCTAGTGAGGAAATGAGTCCAGAATGGCCTTGGACAATATGATCAAGATTGCCATACTGTTGCTCAATTCGGCAAGCCAATCTCTAGATATGTCAGGCACAAATTTGGGTTAAAAGGAAGTTCAAATCAAATTTAGCTTCTAATGTTTGTATAAAGCTATATAATAACAGTAGATGCTGGATTCACAGATGTATTAAAGAAAACTAAGAGACCACATGATGCCAAGGAAAAATAGCATAAAAACGTCTATAACAGAAAAATAGAAAGGTTTTAGAGGAGAGGAAGAGTGAAGAGCTGTCTGTATCTAAATATTGCCAGCTATAATTTCTCTTATAGAAACACCATATGACCTTAAACATCTTAGCAACTTTTAAGAAAGAGGATAGATGGCTTGGAAAATTTGGTTGAGAGAGAGAGAGAGAGAGAGAGAGAACTTGTGGCTCCACCCTTCTCTGCTATGTTTTGTGTATTTTTCTACATGGGGCAAATAACCTGGTTAAGTAACTTACTTGCTAAGACCAATTTATTTCTTTATCGTCAGCTATTCATATGCCCTAACTCATGAAGATGATATTTTGATCTCAGCCATGTCGTCTAAAAGACAATAAAACAATCAAACAAGCATCAACAAGATTGGCTGAAAAGGCCAACTAAATCAACTTGAAGGTTCTCAGACCAACTATGGAACAAACTCTGATGCTTAATCGCAGCCAGGGATGGTTTCTTGATGACCTGCACCATCATATCAGATGATCTCTGACTCTTTCATATGTATATAGATGCATTCATTTATTCACATCCAAGTGATTTGATCCCATCAATGATGTATTAGTATGAGCCTGTTTTATTTCTAAATGTCCTTCAATGTTCACCATGTCTGGAACTGATACTGGGTTGGAAGTGGCTATTTGATGTCTGTATAAATGGATGGTTGGGTAAAACTCTAGGCTATTTGCTACTAGAAAACATTTCATTGGTGGCTCTCAGGGAAACTAAAATAGGTGAGCAATGAGGGTTCTCAGGATCATATATTGTGAGATACGTAAGAGTCCAAATAAGAACCACACAAGTGGTTCAACTTGGATATGCAATTGAGCAAAAGTGAGTTATAGTAAGATATTGTGAGCAATGAGGGTTCTCAGGATCATATATTGTGAGATATAGTAAGAGTCCAAATAAGAACCACACAACATGGATATGCAATTGAGCAAAAGTCTATTTCCAGCAGAACCATCTGATACTCTCACAGGTGTTCTTTCGTACGCTTGTAGTACCACAAACATCTTTGAAGTTTCCAATATTGTATAAGAATACAGAATGGCAAGAATTCAATGGTACAGGATCATTTTATTCCTAGAAGAATACACAACTCCAGCAATCAGCAGCAGAATCCATCAGCTCTAAGAGAGCAGGAATTTTTGGAATGGGGAATCGACAAAGATGCTACACTGAACTATAAGAGATCTGTCTTGAGATAATTTATTTCATTCATGAAACTTACGAGACAAAAGAATCGCGAACTCGGTACCTATACATCTTCAGTCAGGATTTTATTTCCTTTTGCAATTCGATCGTAAGAAATCTGTGACATGATACATAACGATGACATCAAATGATAAAGACAATATTGACATGAACACGGAACACTTGCTCTACTTTTATACGGATAATGTGGGCTAAAATAAAATATTTGAAGTCTTCGTTAAGATAATTAAAGGTCGGTAATATAATTATTGCACAAGTAATAAATCTTATATATGTCATTTGATGTAATATTTTTTAATTTAAAAATAAAATATCCATATCGATAGAATAACTAAATTCTCTATACTTTAAAATAGTATATTTGTTCTTACAAATCTTTATATTAACATTTATATACTCCATCAACCCAAAATTTATGATTAATCATGTTTAATTGTGGTTTTCTTTTTGTATCTTAGATTGAGAAATTTCATATAATTAATTTATGATTTAGCATTTATTTTTTCATCATTATTGAATATTTTGACCCAAAAGATGCACTTGAAACTGTTATAAATGTTATGAACTCCGTTTTTTGATATGAGATGTCTTTTTATTCGAAATCGTTATATTGATATTATAACACCGTTATTTTACTTGAGATCTATTTTTATACGGCTTGCAGACGACCGATGCGCCCCCTCTCGGCCGCTGTTTCCAGGTGAACGCGAGGGGGGAGAATCGGAAACCATGGCGGAAACGGCAGCTAGCGGTGGTGACGAGGGAGGGGCGCCTCACCGGCTGGAGAGGAAGTGGACGTTCTGGTTCGACAACCAGACGAAGCCGAAGCAGGGCGCCGCCTGGGGCACCTCCCTCCGCAAGGCCTACACCTTCGACACCGTCGAGGAGTTCTGGTGGTACGGCACCGGTTCGCCCGCTACGATCTATGTATTCTCGATTTGTTTTGGTTTTTGTGGATCTGCAGGTCCGATAACGTTTCTTCCTTTCCTTATAATCAATTCGCACGGAGGAGAGGATGTCTGGCGTTGGTTCATGTGCTAATTGGGGTTTAGGTTTTGGTTCTTCCGCTTTTGAATGCTGATCTAAATATATTTATCTTGATTAATAGGATCTGCAGAAGCAACGCCGTTTTCATACCCAGATTCTTCTTACTCGATTGGTTGAGGTGTATGATTCTGTTGATTGGTGCATGATCTGGTTTATGCGAATGATTCTAGTTTTCATGTGAGATAGGGTGAATAATCGGATGGTTGTATGAAATTCAATTAATGCCAAGATCTGTGAGTTTCCGTGTTGTGTGGTTCATTGAATTTGCTTAAAGAAGTGTTGATTGTTACATTAGGCAAAAAGGATTGAGGTGTTGCTACTTTTAAGCTTTAGCCAATTCTGTGTTTACGTTTTTTGAAATTTATATTTCAGTTGCTAAGTGATTCCAAATACTTCAATTTCTCCACCCTTTGGAGTTTAACTTCATATTTTGCATTTACTGAAGGTCAATTGCTTATCATTGTGGTCCCAAAGGAGGTTTTTTTTTTCTACTAAGTCTATAGAATGCAATGATATGATGTACATTGATATGCATGACTGATATGCCAGGACATCATTTGTCATGATAAATAGTAAATAGCTAGTTTTTGCTCTTCGAAAGGAGAATGAACTGCACTTAATTAGTTCTTGATAAGAAGTACAGTAAAGTGTACAGTCATTGTGGTTCCAGTTCAGTATCATTTATCTTGGTCTGTCTTGGTTTCTTCTTTTAGTGTCCTCAAGGTGAAGCTATAATTGTGTTTCTTTGAGGATTCTTTTTGTGGTTTTTGACCTTTTACTGGTATTTGAAAAACTGCCCAAAAAATACTGTTTAGCGAGTAAATGACTGGTCTATAAAGCTTCTTAAGGGTGGAAAGACATATCTTAATAATCATATCCTTCTATAACTTGACTCATGATGCCTTGAAAAAGTGATCGGTTCACTGATGCCAGCATTTTCTTTTTCTTTTATTGTCTTATATTTGGCAAAGGTCTTCTCTAGTTTAGTTATTTGCTCACCCTCTTTCAAGATTCTATGTTTTAGGTGTTTCAGTGTTTTGGATAACATATGCTTGTCTCTTGGTTTTGTAGCTTGCATGATCAGATATTTCGTCCCAGTAAATTGCCTGCAAATGCTGACTTTCACTGCTTCAAAGCTGGAATAGAACCCAAGTGGGAAGATCCTGAATGTGCAAATGGAGGCAAGTGGTCTGTTACATGTAACAGGAAGTCGACTCTTGACACCATGTGGCTAGAAACGGTGAGGCCTGTTATATTTCTATTTACCACATTTTGCTTTCTTTATGTAGTTTATGTGTATAATGAACTATTCATATTAAATCCTGTATTAGTTGTGTAGTTTTTGCAGTCTACAGTTTTAAATTATGCTTATATCTATATGAACCAATTTTTTGACACAAAAATAACTTCATTTTGCAGTTGATGGCTTTGATTGGAGAACAATTTGATGACGCTGAGGAAATCTGTGGTGTTGTTGTTAGTGTGCGCCCAAGGCAGGACAAGCTTGCGTTGTGGACTAAGGCGGCTAGCAATGAAGCTGTTCAGGTTCTTCTGCTTGCTTGATAGGCCTTAAATGGATTCAATTAAGAAAAATCATATCATGGATTTACAATTTATGCAAGACATGAAAGAGTATATATGTGATCTAGATTTTTGTTTCTTGAAGGAAGCATGGTGTTGCATTTTAAGTCACAGGCTATAGAGGGCTTTGGGTCCAAATACTTCATATGTTTTTTGTGATGGATAACCTCATATGATAACACATGTAACAAACAGGAGGATGCATGTATACCGCAACTTTTATGTTATTGTCGTACCTTTTGATTGGTAGGTTTTGGTTTCAGTTCAGGTTCTCTTTATCAAAATGATTGACAAAAGGATTTTCACTGGATAATATTTTATATGACAAGTAAACAATTTTTTTTTCAATTGTAGGAAAAGGGAAAAAAAACAATTTATATTTCCTGTTTCATGTGTTTCGTAGTTGGTCTAGACACAAACTTCCCTTTTTCTTTCTTTTTTAAAGAAATATGTTGAATATTTTGATTAGAAGAGACAAAAAGAAAAAAAGAAAGATGTTCCCATGATCAATAGGCATTCTAGACAGATCAAAATGTCAGATGACTTTTATCTTATTCGAGACCATATCTAAGCCAAAAAGAACATTAAACATGACCTTTTGGCTGGACCAGGTCACTGGCCCAATTTGTTTCCCTCATTCTGTGGTTCAACAACTTACGTGGTTTCTATAGAAGTTTTACAAGTATTCATAATATGTGTGATATCATGTGGGTCCCTAGAACTACTTTTGATAAGTTTAGTTATCTGGGCTTCATCACCTTTAAGAACAGTATTAGCCTATTCCCCATGCTTGCTAGTTTCCTTAAATGCATGCTTACTGTGTAGGGCATTAACTTTATGGGTCTTGTGCACTCCAACGTGCTTGGTGCTTTTAAATAGAAAGTTACCAGTATTAGTTCTGTTTATAAACCAAATAATACCCCTCTCACTAATAAAGTTAAAGGACCATCAATGTTTTGCAAACTGGTAGGCACTACATGAGTTACCTAGATGCCATTCATTGTGTATATATCGAGCGCTCATTTTAGGCAGCTGCCAGATGACTAAGGCTATTTGGTACAATTGAAGGAAATTAAACAGAAACTTGGGGATGTTTTGTATTCCTAACTAGGGAACCAGTTTGATGACTGGTGTGCCTCACGATTGACTCAGGAAATACAGATGCTTGTGCTAATTAACTTAGGTTTTGTTGGCTTGGATTTTATGATCTGGTTAGGAAGCTGAAAGACTTGTGAATTTTAGTTTAGGAAAAAGGAAAGATAAAGAATATGATTCAAAAACTGTTCTTGAATGTTGTTGGGAGAGGGAAAAACAGCAATCATTTCTCCTTTTTTTTTCTCTTAGTAGGCAAGCCTTTTCAGCTTTGGTTTTGTTATGGAGCTGCATTTTTGCTTATAAAATTACTCTTCAAATTTATTGTGCAGATGAGCATTGGGAGGAAATGGAAGGAAATCATGGACTTCAATGATAAAATTGTATACAGCTTCCATGTATGTCATCCATGGAACTCAAAACCATGCATCATAATATTGTTATACATAATCACATTAGATGGCTATGCAACATCAAAATTGATTTATTGTTCTTTTTCTCGATTGATGCTGTTCATACTTCATATCCTGTCTCTTCATGCATTATGTTCTTGTTTATTGCAGGATGATTCCAGAAGAGAAAAATCAAGCAGAGGTGGTCGATACTCGATATAGTATCTGTATCTGAGCATTCCATTTGACTCGTTGATCGTCAGCAGCGTGTAGTCTGTGCCAACACCAACCTTATGCTAGTTCCTGAGCAACTTTGTCAGTCTAAAGATCTTTCTTGGGGCCAAGAAAAGACCACATTGTCTGAGATGTTAAATAAATTGCAATCAGGAAGTATTTATAGTGTGCTATATATCTTATCCATAAAGACTGGACAGTTTATTGTCCCCTGTTCTATTGCCATGGTTCAATCTCAAAGTCCAATGTGCGTTTCTGTTTGTTTTTGTCGAGGGATTTCAGAGTTAGGAATAGGATATGCATCCATGAGCTTCACCTTCCAAACTGCGCAGATGCTTGAAATCTTAATTAAGAGATTCAAGGTGAGTTAGATGCCCAGTGGTGGAATGCAGGGAGTTCAGCAGCATTTTGAACAAAGGTACGAGGCCTTCTTAATCTGAGTTCGTGCTTACAAACACATGTTGAGCATTGATGTTAGTTAATTACGTGGCATGTTATGATGTGTAAATAGAAGCAAGTTTTGTGGCTTGTTTTGCTCACTCCGAATTATGGTCTTCATGTAGAACCACTGTCTAATTACTGTGACCACTTAGATTAACCAGTTTGAAATGATTAAGTGCTTATGATAGTTAACCCAATCATATTGATGTTTTTAAATTTAAAATTGATTTGATTTGGTTCGAATTGATTAACTGAATAAAGAAGGATTTCCTTGAACTAAAACTGGGATTTCCTTTAACTAAAACTGTCTATAATCTTCAAAATCAAATTATTGATGAATCAGTATGACGGATTGAAGTTTGATTTCGATCCAATTTTTGGGGGGCGCCCACCACTAGCCACGCTAGGGTTTTTTTTGTTTTTTATCAAATTAATGAAAAAGTATTTCTAATTAAAAACTAACTATGAGGAGCATCATTTGCTAAAATCCAACAGTAAATGACTTATTTAGATTATATATATCGAAATATTTAGATATTTCGTATGTGCCAATATTTGTTAACAACTCAATAAAATCAAGTAACTATAGTTAATCATAAACATCATTAATTTATCCAAAAAAATAAGTTCTTGGATATTGAAATGCACTTTCCTAACATTCTTGAGGGTTGTGTTAAGTGAACTTGACTTATAATATTATTATTCTATTAGTCAAATGGTGGTGACTAAATACAGTGTATATATATATATATACACACGGTTGAATTTGAGCTTTGTAGGGTAAATTTATAGGAATAAATATGTAAATTAAAAGTTACTTCGGAGGTTTATATGTAATTTGGCCTTTACCTAAAACCTTTTTAAATATGGGCCAAATGAAATGGGCTTGGCGTGGGCCGCAACCACTTAACACGGAAATGCCTTTTCCGCATTTTAAACACCGTCTGTACCCGAGTGCAGCTAGACGTGGGTCCCACAAGGCTCTTCCAGTAAAACCTCGGGAAACCGACACTGGTAGGAAAATTATGGGCACATAAACATTATTACTCTTTTCCGGAGACGCATCCCCTCTTGGGTTCTTGCGGGCGGTGTAGAGAGAGAGAGAGAGAGGGAGAGAGATGGCAGCCGCTTCGGCTTCTCTCACCTCCAGCTGCACCCGCCCGTCCATCCGCCTCTCCTCGCCGTCTCTAAGACCTCTCAGGGAGAGCCTTCGGGTGTGGAATCGCGAAACCCTCTACATATCTAATCCAAGGAGAGGAGTACGGTGCAGCAGCAGCAGCAACAACAACAGGACACCTTATCCTGGATCAGGTGAACCATCGGAACCTCCCACTTGGTTCGTCCTAGGTCAGGTTTGGTTAGAAATTTTATTTCGATATGGGCTTTTTTGAGGGATTGGGATTTTGGAGAAGAACTGAATGGATGTCTTAGCAGCAATACACTGTCCTGATGCGGTGTATCAAATCCCAGAATCTTCTCATGCTGAACATCTCACTTGTGGACGTCAATGGTCACGGATGGTATCTTTTAATGGCTAAAACTTAATTTTGTGACATCAACTTGATAGAATAGAAATTAAACTTTTAATAAGTAACTATGAGAAATCATCTCCCATAATTCTTCAAGTAACTATGAGTTATTTTTCCAACATGGTAGCAGAGCAATTTCTCAATGTTACTTGAAAAGGACGGGAGAATCTTTTACCCTTGAGGGAGAAAGTTAAAACTTTTGGATTGTGGCAGTGACAAACATCAAGATCAAATGATGCTAAGTGATATGTACGATTCAAACTCTCCATTTGGATCAGCCCTCAGTGTGTAAGATTGTTTGTTCGAAATACTATTTATTTGACAATTAATTTCCAGAACTGTAAATCTAGCACAAACTGAATGGTTTCATTTCTTAGTTGACAGGTAAGAGTTATGAAGCATCTTCCTAGTTGTTGAATTTGCAAAGAGGAAAAAGTGATGTTGGTAGTTTGTAAAGAAATTTTGAGATCTCTAACATTTGGATTGTCTGATTTTGTTGTGCAACCTACTTTCAAGAGATAACATCAGAAGGAATCACAATTATGATAACTAAAGCTTGTATGAGGCAAAAGTCAATAGGACAGGACTTTTATTATAACAATAGGTTTCATAAATATGAAAAAGAAAGCAAAGCATTTGCTTGCTAACCGTAGAAGATCTGCATAGCTGGATTTGTTATTGCCTTCCTATTGTGCCATTATATGTCCTATTGGCGGTAATTATGCATTGGAAGTCAAAAATATTATAAAGTTGTAATTCTCATGTGTATTATCTCAGTGTTAGCAAATGGTACGGCTCTATCACAATGTTTCATCTGATAACAAGCTTTTTCTGTCTCATAGATAAAAATGATAGCAGAATTGTCCTGGATGCATTTTTCTTGGGCAAAGCTTTTGCAGAAGCATTAAATGAAAGAATAGAATCTACCGTTGGAGAAATCCTTAGTGTGGTCGGTCAATGGCAAGCTGAGCAACAAAAACAAGTCCAAGATTTTCAGGTCAGTTCATGAATTTTTACTTTTAGGCTTTTTGATAGAATTTTGCTGCTGCTTTGACTCTATTATGCCTCCATGAATGCTTGTCTTGATATGATTTTGTGAACGATGAAATTGTTAGGAAATTTCAAAATACAGATACCAAGATATATATTTTTGTGTTTAAAAAAGTTGTCACCATATCCAAGAAATAATGATCAACATCATTTGGATTAAGGGGTCATCCCAAGTTCAGCTTCACAAAATCATGCAAGGAACATGAACCTTTTTGGAGTTTTAAAAGGTCTTATATGCTTACTTCTCCATTTAGATTTTTTAGTATTGCCTAAATGGTCTACATGTACTGTACCACAGTTGTATGATGGATTTTCTGCAATTTCCCGTCTGGTATAATCTCATCAAGTTCATCATCCCACGTGGAATACAAAAGCTTGTGCTTCTATAGGGTATTTTGGGCCACATATGATTCCTTGTTTGAGTGAGCAACTTGTGTAATATTTCTAATGATTGAGTTTGAAAACTTCACATGCTTCACAGAGCACCGAGTTACTTTGATGTCTTGCCAGTATGGATTGTTCTACTGAAACAAACCATGGTCTAAGAGCAACAGTATTACAAACATATGCTAATTAACACAACAGAAAATCAAGATTTCTGGCAGAGAACATTTTCTGATAATTCACAGCTGCAAAAGAAATTTTGGCAAAATCGTCTTTTTTAATCCTTTTCTCCTCCCCTCGGGCAGCTATTTAAGTGTCCGAGTGTTGTGTGGTTCTAATGGAAGAGAAAAAATGGTCATCCTTGGAGGCTGTCCTTCCCTGATTACCATATTTACTCAAACATGTGTGCTTGTTCTTAGTGCTCTGTTGATCTTAGTGCTCTGTTGATCTTACAAAACTTTGAATTCCTGATAATGCTGTCGTTTATTTCTTAGAAAAATATACTCATAATTTCAAGCTCCCGCCCGAATTTGCTGTGACACTTAATCTGTATCATCAACACGATATTTGTTTGCTGCGACACTTAATCTGTATCATCAACATGATATTTGATAAGAATGATTGATGCAGGAAGAAGTAATTGTGAGAGCCAAGAAAGCCAAGGAGAGAGCTGCACTGGAGGTCATGACAGAAACAGGTGTCCTCTCAAAGCCTTCGAATGCACCTTTGGATAACTCGACTACTGCTTCACCAAATCCTGATCCTAAAACAGAAGATCCTCTACAGGAGATGTTGAAGGATTAACTTGATCTTTCCAGCGATAAATAATAAATGAGCATTGTAAGACGGGTTCTTTGCCCAAGTGCCAAGTAGCTTGGAAGTATACTTCTCAGTAGTATGGTTATGGAAGCATCTCTGCAGATTTATGTAAGGGCATACAGTCTTCAGCAAATTAATCTTAATTACGAGAAAGTTGCTGTCAGGCCTCCTGTGATGTCTGTGGGTTAGAGCAGAAACCAGTGTTCCTCTTACAAGGCGAGGATCTATTTGATTTTGCAAAGGAAGATCTTTGAGAAACGTCGACATGTTTACCTGCTGGAGGATTTGCATAGTAGAAGAATTTGAAGGGTTTGCTTGCAAATGCACACAAAAATTCCTTTTCCAAAGACGCTGTCAAAAGAAACTGTGTCCGACATATAGATCAACGATTTTAATAACGAATTGGCATTCGTATACCACAGTTTGATAGAAGCTTGATGAATAGTTTGGCCTAATGTTTAAATGATGCTCAAGATTTGAACTCAAGATTTTACAGGCGTGTTGATTACTAATTTTTCATAAATTTGTTTTTGAATTAAATATAGATTATAAATAAATTTATTTATCCTATTAGTTTTATTAACGAAAATATGAAAATAAATGATAAAAAAAGTAAATTTAACATTTTGATGGTGGTGAATGACGTCGATGGTGGCAGTGGCAGATGGCAACGTCGCTGGTGTCGATCTAATGTAGTCGTCACCCTCTGCCTCCTCTCCCCTATTGTAGGGACAAAGACAAGAGAAGGTAAACAGGACAAAGACAACCATAAGAGCTTTGGCCGTGAAAAGAGAAGGTACCATGTTTGGACGATAATAAGAGGGGTGAGCATAAGGAGAGGAGGCAAAGGACTATCGACATCGACGCTATTGACACTTCCACCAAAATATTAAATGTACCTTTTTATCTTTTGTCTTCAAATTTTCGTTAATAAAACAAACGTCATGAAGATAAATAAACACACATGTTTTATTTTCATAATTATAAAGATATCAATATAATATTTTAAAATATTAAGATCGAAATACTAAACATAATTAACTGCATAAAATAATTTATAATCAATCTTTTGTTTATACTCGAGAAAACAATATCTACTGAACTATTATCTCAAGAAATAATGTAGACAACATGTTTTATAAAGAAAAATCTGATACAGATATCATATGCATACCGAATAATGAGGCTCGCTTCAAGTAACTACTGACAAAATCCCACAGGTCTCCACAGGTCATGGCTGACAAATAAACACCAATTGAAGTATTCATGGATAACAGATCAGATCAGATGGTCGCGGGAGGGAGTATAAACTAAGAGGTTGTGTCAGCACGATTTCAACCTCACAAAAACTTGGCGAGAGAGTGAAGCACTCGCAGCGGTAGAGGCCGGTCAGCAACCATACAACTTCATGTATCAAACTCAACTCCACTAGTGGGACGTTCATGCATCAAACTCAACTCCACTCATGGGAACCTCTTTGTTGATCTTGTCATCCTCCCCATTGCTTTCATCCTCGCCTGCTGTCATCATATCCGGAGGCTGATCTTTCATGTGATAATCCACTGTGAAATCATAATCAGCATCCATTTCATTTGTTTTGTTCAATTTGTGGGCCTTTCTCCTCTTTTTCTCCGCTCTCCGTTTGCGTGGGTCAAGTATGCCTTCGGCGGCATATAACTTGTCATTTTGACTGCTGCCGGAGTTGGTTTTCATTTCTACAGTATCTTTCCCATCGTAAGCCATGGGTTGATCCTCATCTGTGGTGACTGCATTCTGTTTTTTGCCATCCTGAAATGAATCTCTAGGTAATAAGATACTTCCAAATAACCTTGTCGCCATAATTAAGCAATAAAATAAAACTTTAAAGCAAAGTTACAGAAGCCCCAGGAACATTAATAATGTAATTAAAAAGTTTGCTGATCAACTATACAGTAAGAGTACTTATTGTCTTATTGATGCCTTGTTGTTATTTGTAATCATAGATCTTATGCCAATGAGAGAAGGCGATCTATATTTTTTGTTTGCTAATAAAAATATGATATAAAGACAAACCAACATATTGGAAGTTGCCTGTTCTATCCAAAGCATGCTAATAAAGAGATCCATCACCTAAAAGAGCAGAACCGACCATCTAACTTGAACTAATATTCTGGAATTCTACATTAGGTTTCGGCAGACTTGGAGAATTAATAACTACCTCTTTCCTTCAACTTCGCTCGCTTGCTTGTAAAGCACAATTCCTAACAAAGCACAATTCCTAACAAATGCTCACGATACAAAAGTATCCTTGCCATATAATTTAGTGTAGTGCAGCATATAATGTAGCTAAAATTATCAAGTCAAACTAACATGAAAGCAACAGCACTGAAAAGAGACAACAAAAGGAAAGAAATATTAGGATGTAATCTATAGTAAACAATATTAGATAATTAATTTACCTCCTCTAACATCTGTGCATCAAAGTTAACTGGGGAATGAGGAGGAACTTCAATATGATGAAAATCTTCAACTGATTTTAAAGAACCAATAAGTGAAGATTCAGTCTTGTAAACTTCATCAACATCAAATTCTTTCCCAAATTGTGGAACAACTGTTGAATCTAAATTGTCCTCATGGTCTCTAGTAGGAGGCAACGTGTAGTATGGTATTTTACCTAAAAGCGTTACAGAACATTAATCCCATAGGAATTACAACTAATGTTCAACTAACAGAAAACATGAAAAGAATACCCTCATTCCAGTCATGCAGCACAATCCTTGCAGCAGCTTCAATGTCCACTATTCCACCCTTTTTCAGTTTACCCCTAATAGTTGCTACCTTCTGAAGGAAGTCATCAACTGAATTAAAGCTTGGCAACTTGTACAGAGACATCAATTTTTCGGCTGGGCAAAGCTTGAAAATCTCATTTACTACAAAATTTCACAGCCAAGGGAGCTTAAAGTTAATAACGATAAGAACAAGAAACTAATAACTCATGAAAAAAAGGAAGCTGCAGTAATAGATTAAAGTATATGACAATGTTTTAAATCTCTGATAAATACAGATTTCAATAATCCACCAGACTGGTACAGTATGGGTATATTGGGCAGTATACCAACTTGTACCACCCAGGATCAGCTGAAAATATTAAAAAACTATACACCAACCAGCACCAGACCATATGGTCCGATACCAGTCCTTGCTTGGACCAATAGTTAAAATCATGGTACATGCTTCGTCAAACAAAAAATAAATGTCACTGTACCATCCTAATTTTCCTTTGTTTCCTGACAATTTCAGGCAAAAGTTCTCATATAGAACAAGATAATGGTTAGATGATCATAAACAAAAGGTCCAAGTATATTATAAAAGGTAAAAGTTTTGTTCCGTTGTAACTTTTACAGAAAAGTTCAATGTATATGTTATATACATGCTCCAAAATAAGATACATTTTATCTTTTTTCCAGTCTCCATAAAAAACTAGTCATGCAAAAACCAACAGATCTTCTGGTGAGAATTGCATCAATCAACTGCAATCTAAAATATAAACCTTTGGCATAATTACCTGGACTGACTGGGTCATCTAATTTTTCAATCCTTTTACAGTTGCGAAGGACTATAGATGCATCATCCTCACCAGACTTGAGCATTACAACACCAGGGCAATCTAGCAGCTTCACATTTTTATCTAACTGAATTTCTTGCATTGACCTGGTTAGCCCCGGAGTGGCACCAACATTAACAGCATGTGATCTCTTCAAGCTATTTATCAAACTGCTCTTACCAACATTAGGAAGCCCCACAATACCCACAGTAATTGATAACTTAAGCTGCCCAAAAATAAAATATAGATGTAGTTAGAAACTTCGAATTATAAACAAGTAACAATTTTTGTTCTACCTAAAGAACCTGAATGAATATGATAATGTTTCTCAATAATGATGCATCCGCGATGCACTTCAAAAGAAACTAAATTGATCTCTATAAAAAAGTTCAACCTGACCATACTTTATTTTGCATAACTTGATGAATATATTGAATAAAATTGGAAATGAAATAAAATATGCAAATGCTATCCAGTTTAATGGTCAGGCCTCAATCAACCAACTCCAAAGAAAACAACATAAAACAGGACTCTCATAGCAACTGCCAGAGATCCTTGTACAAGAGATAAGAGGGTTGGATATATCATCATTTATTTACGAGTTTTAAGACACTTTCTAAGATGTGATCATGGGCCTACAAATCATCAGTTGTTGATAACTCTAACATAACAAACAAGTATGGCATCAATCACAAATGAAGTTTGGTACAAGTTGTCATGGACAGATGCATGTCACGAATGGAATTAACTACATTGCCACTTAGTGCCTTGCTGATTAAATCAACAAAAAAGTTCTAATTTAAACATGTAAATAGGATTCTCCTAGGAAAGCTCGGTATTACATGGTTAACCGGCATAGCAAAATCCAAAATATAGAAAAACTCAGTCAACAGATTCATTTTCTTCTTAAAGCTGCAAGAAATGCAGCCAATTTCATTTGTTTGGTTCAAAATAAAGTTGTTACACCATGATTCTTGAGCAAGTAATGAAGAAACTTAAGAAATACAAAAATCTAATTCTCTAACCTCGTGGCTTCTGGAATAATTCTTCAACAGCTTTAAGAGAGTATCAGCTCCAAGGCAATCACTTGTTTGCAAAACATTGCTTGGCTTTGCAACCTTTGATAATTTTGATGATTTCCACCCCAAATTTGATCTTTGTTCTTGTGTGCTACATTTAAAAGCTACAGCAGGTAACTCTTCTCTAAGATATGTGAGCCATTTCTCCACTGCCTCTCGAGGAACAAGGTCTATGGCATGCAACAAGAGGAAGAAAAACAAGAAAAAAGATAAATTGAAACTAAAGGGAACGAAAATTGATGAGTTTTCATTGTTTTATTATGATCAACGATAAGTTGGAAGAATTCTCTTCTGCTTACATCACAAGAAGCAAGTATTAACCTCAGATCAGTTTCACCTCAACAAAGAACATTAAAATAAGAACATAAAACGAGAAAGCAAACAGAAAATACCTATCTTGTTCAAAAGCAAGACAATACGCTTATTTGGATCTGACTTTAACACCATATTTTCCAAGTCAACGGAACGAGTACCAAGGGGATCACGTGCATCAAGAACCTCCAATATTATATCCGATGCTTCTACAACTTTCTTCAATTCCTTGTAGAAAGCTCTTTCAGAATGATCTGGAGAAATTTGGCAATCAGACATTTCCATCTGAATGGTCGCCACATATGTATAGTTAAATAGTAGGCAGTTTACCATGGCTCTTAGCAACAGCTGAGAATTCATCTGTGGTAATCCTATTTGCAAAATCATGCTCTTTTGCAGAAGCTAGTGAAGCCAGATCTGCCATATCAGAATCCTCAGCTAAACCCATTTTCCTCTTCTTAGCCTGTCAGGCACACAACTCAATACATTCAGCTAGTAAATGAGAATCCAAAGAGCCATAAACGTTGGAATAAATGCAATTCAATATGAGTTGTATGTAAGTAAATCAACTATTTACCGGCCAAAAAATGTAGAAAGGGTGGTCAGTTCCAATTCATAAGATGTCAAGATAGTTACTATAACAAGCAGATACCATATTTATAAGATGTTAAGGTACAACACATATATCAAACATATGCAGGCATGCTCAAATATTGAAATGTAGCATGTTTCACTTCCTAGGTCACAGAAGAAATTATTCTATGTTCCATAAAATAATTGCTTCTTAGTAAGAAAATACTCATCTCGATGCCTCTATGTTCAAGAAAAAATAACAAGTTTCCTGTACTGTTTGCAGGTCCACCTGTACATGAAGTTTTCACATACCAATTTACGTGGATGACCATTGCTAAATAAAGAATCTTACCCATAAGAGTCCCAATTAAATAACAAAGTACTTGGCATTTCAGCAATATACATTTTGTTTCTGAATATTCTATGAATGGACCTCTTCAGTCACTTGTTTATTTTTTGTGAGCCAAGGTAGCTTTTTAAAAAAATTTATTAATATTTATCTTTAATTGAATACATCTACTGTTTCCACCACTTATACCAAAATGCTAGTCAAGCAATGGATAATAAGTAAGCACCAAAAGGCTCATATGAATCATATTTATTATGAGCATCCGTGTGCACACACGTTCCCATGTGCTCGGATACAAATAAATATGTGATATATGTAATACCTATGTCACAATTTCACCATGTTCACATGTTAAAATATTGAAAGCGCCTAAATAGAAGAGTATGTGTTTTTCACTCGTGCAAGTCAGAACCTTTGAGATCATTTGAGCCTCAATGTGTTTCTTATTTCCTTTGGCAGTTTTGAGTCTTTCTTATTTGTGAATAAGGTGACACATAGTTTCATACAGAATAACCAAATACCTTCACAGTGGCATATTGCTTGTTCAAAATGGCCTGTCTAGTTACCTTTTTGTTAATGGTTTTTATATTGCATGGCCTCCGAATTAAACCCCCGAGGAAAATACTTGCACATTCAGCCAAAACAGTGTCAAACTAATCAATTCGTTTGAATCTATATTATCAGCCTATAAAATTCAGAATTATAAAGATTCTAGCCTACAGTCCCAAGAACAGAAGTGTTGAAAGAAATGCAATACACGCACTAAAACAACCCATTCTTAATACCACAGCAAGAATCTAAGAGTTAAGACAAGATTACCCTTTCTTTTCTAGCAGCCTTTTTCTGCTCCAACTCCTCCAGTGCACGTGCCCTACGAGCCTCGAGTGACTTTAGCTCTTGTTCCTTGAAAGGCCAGTCATTTGGAATCCCAGGATCCTTCTCCACCTTCTTTTTCTTGTTTAATCCGAGTTTTTTTGCTTCCTTCGCCTTCTTCCTGTGGTGTTCCTTCACCTTCCTTATTATCTTGTACTTCTTCTTAAGAGATACCCTCTTACTCTTGCTCTCTACAAAAAGAAACCAATATCAATGGAGAAAATCCAACATAATGCATCATAGTTGATAGGTGTCAAGAACTGCACTTACTTTTACTCTTCTTCACCATGTTTGCTGCTCGAAAAACTTAGCCTGTAAGATAGAGGAAACTAAATCAATCAATTGCTTACTTTTGCTGGTCGCTCAACTAATTTTGTCATATAAATAATTTCCACTACGCAATGCCAAATTAACCACACATATATATTAAGGACAAACGGGCAGATGCATGAAGTAAACGCAGAAAAAGGAGCACATCGAATTATGACTTATATCTCACAACGAAGTGGTGCGCTAGAAAATTCAGGAATCATCGATCACCTACTGGTCACGGATGAACCAAAGACACGGGATTTAATGTATAGTTCCCATCAAAGATGAACTAGCAAGATCTACATCATACGGGAAACAAAAGTAAAATAGACGGGGAAAGGGTCGATCGCCAAGGAAAAGGAACGAAACGCACCTTGATTCGTGTGCGGCGAAGAGGAAACTAGAAGGAGAAGCGACCGAACCCCAGGCTGCCTCCACCTCACAAGGCGTCCGACGGAAAGAGAACCGAGGCGTTGCCAGGGTTAGGGTTTAATAGAGGCGCAGCGCTTCTCGGTACGACTTAAGTTACGGCACCTCCGAACCGGAATTGTCGCGTCGGAACCCGTTATTTTGGTTCGAGCTCGAATTGACGGTCGAGTCCTAATTCGATCGAATTGACATCCCCAATTTCTTATTGATTTTGAACCCTAGTAAATGATCGAGTTGGGCTCGATATGTAATCGAAGACATTTGAATCGAACTTAATTACAAACATATTAATACAATATGAATTTTATTTTCAACGCCACATTTATTATGAACAAATTTATTATATTTAGATGTAAAAAGTTAGGCTTACTAATGAGGGTTGTAGCAAATAATAATAATAATAATAATAATAATAAGATTTAGATTAATGTTTTATTTAAGAGCATGTGGTCTTGAGTACCCTTTTTCTCCATAGTGATTGCTTTTAGCCAATTTTCCTACCACAAAGTCTTCTTTCTCGATCATTTTTCAATCTCTTTATAGTTTGATAAACCCATTTTCCTATCAGGATCAGATTCTTCTCTTTTGCTCGTCTTTTAACTCTCTCTATGCTATTTGAATTTGTAGAGCACCAGACTTCACTTTCTTATCATTCATACCTCAATTTGGTACCAAAGCAGTGCATGCATCACTCTTCACTTCTTTGATTCTGCTATTCTGCTACTTAAATTAGTAGTTCTGTTCCGGTAAACTGCTATTGATGGGCACTATTGTTCTTTATTCTGTAGATACTCAAATTTGTTGGCTGGTCTTTAGCTTGAGAAAACACTGTCTGTGACAAGGAATTTGGCAACACATATGACTTCAACACAACAAAGTCGGACCGGAGTGGCTGAGCTTTTCAAGACTCTTCATTTGTTGCGGGCTTACACTAATGGGTACTGTTCTCTAAAGCTCAACGGGACTGGCCATACTGCTAATGTTAGACTTGGAAGCCAGTTGGAGGGAAGGGTATGACCATGACAAATGTTTTGATCGGATGATCAGTGATCCCAAAGCTTAGGAGGATGTGCACAGTTGTAGCTGCAGGTCGATAGAGTTCATATCCGTCTTTGGGCCTTCAATAACTCACAAGTGTTGAAGCATAGATAGCTACAGCAAAGAGAAGATCTTGCGCAGCCTACAAGACACTAGCAGAAAAGCCTAAAGGCAGGCTGCCATTTAATAGCCGAAGTGCGTTAGCAGCAGCAGCGATGCAGTCATTCTTTTGGTGTCTAATCCACACAGAAGCAGCAGACAGCAGCAGGCAGCTGCTGTATGGGAATACATGAGATGTTTGTAACCTCTAAATCGGCAGACTGTAGCCACAGCAGAAGCAGCCTCAGCTCTCTCTCTCTCTCTCTCTCTCTCTCACTCATTATCCTGTCCTATGAAGAAAGACGGACAGAAAGCGACCCAACAATGGAAGCCCCAACGGTTTTGATCAGGGCAGCAGGGAAAAGATATGAGTTGGAAGCTCCTCGGAGTTTAGTTTCATATCTCTTTTCTTCCCAGTGAACAGGAATCTATTTAGCACTTCATTTGTCTTGTGCATGCGGCTCGAATGATGGATGTACACATTGCAGCAAGCGAAGAAGTGCAGCAAATTCACACAGATGGAGCTGTATATATGCACACCTTACAAGTCAAAGGCCGAGAAGGTTGCTTCTTAAAGATAAAGGAAGCTTACAAGGGTTTTAGACCTTCTTGTCGGCATGAAGGCCAATGTCAGAATGCAGGAGGAGAGCGGAGGAAGAAAGGAGGGACACACTACACGGTGAAAGCAACCAAACAGATGTAGCGAAGGCCATTTTTCTGTTGCATTTAATGCGCATAATATCTCACGATACTGTTGCTATTCCATTGATATGCTCGATACAAGGAAGGAGGCTGATGAGGAGCAGAGTGCAAGTGTGATATTTAGAGAGAGGTCCCCCGTGAGACAGCCTTTCTTAAAGCTGCTTCATGCTTGTGCTGTGATAGCTGAGCTAGTAATAACACCCCACACTTCACATGATCATAATGAATTGGTGGCCCGGCCGGGCTCCCTCCATGGGAGAGGCTGGGGTGGTTCCAAGTGGCACCACCCTCGTGGTGGATACGAACATAATGCTTTGCATTGATGTGGATAACTCATCTCTCTCTAGGTATAGTACATGTATTCACATTCCCAAGCTGCATATGGCTCAGGACTCGTCGCTATCGTTACCAGTGGCTTCCAATTTGCTGCTTTAAGAGTCTGAACATATTCCCACTGTTCTATATATGAGCACTGCCCACGGTAGTCAGTGCAGTAGCTCAGGAAAGACCTTTGAGAGAGCTTTGGGGGAGGAAGTTTGATGACATTTAACGACAGGGAAGAGCTGCTTTTGGGGAGGGCTATGATGCTGCATGAGCTTTCTATTCTACTTGGGTTGCGACAAAAGTCTGCTCTCTTCTTCAAGAATCCTGTTGCTCTTCACTTTGCAAGTTTTCATGCATGCCTTCCTCGGCTCTCTGTCCAAGTAGATGCACATAAAGACGTAAACAGGATGATGGCCGGCGTTGGATCTTTCAACCATTTCTTTTCTTGGGATCTCTGCAACACTGTCCTGTGTTCATCTGTATCAGAAAGCTTCCTCATGCATACACAGCCTAGTCCACTGATGGCCTGTTAATGTATATGCACCAGTGTCAGCTTAACTTCATTTCTTGCTCAATTTTGTTTGCTTGAGTTAAGCTTTTACTGAGGCCTGAAATCACACAGAAAAGACACATCTGGGGTTTCTTTTCATGGTCTTTTTAATAGTCTGCTATCAGTGTTGAGTTATGATGTTAATGTGTGCACCAAAATTAATTCAATGGCCAAAGTAATGTTATGAAAAGTGGTTCTGAAAATTGTATGTGGCAGTCAATTTTCATTGACATGGACTGCAATTCAATGCAGAAAAGCACAATAGACTTTCTTTCTGTTCATCGAAAGATGTTTTGGACAGTACATCAGACAAAAGTGATGTGAACAATAGTAGTGATAAGGTAATGAAAGTCTACAGATTTTTGGAAAGTAAATTATGGATTTCATCTCTCTTCTGAACTGTCAAGCAACTACAGATATTTCATACTTTCCAATCCATGGAAGCTGAAAGCTTATGCCAATCTTTTCATTCATAAAAAAACCTGTATATTTTGGGAACCTCGAGATGGTATTAATGATCATAACACTTTAGTGCAGATTGTTGTAAATGATTGTCACAAAACACTTCATATTATTTCAATTCTATTGCATAAACCATACTATATATATATATAATTATAATTATATATATATAATTTTACCTTTTATAAAAAAATATATCTTTTATTATGTTTCTTATTTTTTTTCTTATGCATCAACTGCTCATGCATTAAGATAGAATTGATGTACTGTTATATTTCAGCATAGATAAAAGGTGTTAATGTGCATACAGACAATACAATTAGTGCATATGTTTTCATACATTCTAAGATGTCCATATTGCTATGTTTGATGTGTTTGTTCCAACAATAAACTGAAATTTTGCATGACAATCCAACTACTTAATGGGCAAATTCTTTGTATCTTCATCATCTAGATATGATTTATTCTCCATTGAATGTTGTGGAATGATAAACCTAAACATTTAGCATTAGTTGGTTCAACGTAACCTTCACCCTATCAAGTTTCCTTGACCATTTCATGTACCTCTGCAATCATTGAATGTGGAATCTTTCACCCAACTATCTCTTCATGGGCAAGCAAGAAAAGGAGATTGAGAGTCTTTTCATGTGCTGTCTTTCGTTTCTTCCCGAGTTGCAAGAGCCTACTCCCAATTCCAGGGACATTGAAACTTCACCTATCGAGCTTCCATGACCTTCCACTGGACTTCTTCAGATGATCATATCCAGTGTGGAATCTTTCATCCCACCATCTTCAAGGGCAGGCAGAGAAGCTTGGGAGTCTTTTCATGTCTAGTCTCTTGTTTCTTTATCTCTCTCAAGAGCCACTTGCAAGCACAAGTTTTCTCTTGCATAGGAGGTGGAGAGGGACATCTCTGCTTCCTTTAGGGTCCCCTCATGCACCTCAATGTTCATGTACCTCCATAACCCTAATGGGTGGGGCTACCCTACTGAGAAAGCATGCATTCGAGTGGTGACTATTCTTTGTTGTGTGATACTGAAAGGTGGACTTTTGGAGAGTTGAAGATAGTTCTATTACTTTATAGAACACCAGCATTCAGCGGACCAACTGGTTGGCCAATTTTGGATTTTTGGAGAGTTGAATATGGCTTTATTACTTCATCGAACGCCAGCATTTTGGGACCAATTGTTAGCCAATTTTGCTAGCATTTGGAACACTGATTGATGAAAGAGAGTAACTTTACTTTGTGTTCCAATCACAGAAAATATATGAGAATTGTATGCCACAAAGAGTTTGCAATAACAAGAGTAAAGAAAAGAAAGCTGAGTACAATTAATGAGGACAGCATTGCATAACATGGTTGGTAAGATCAAGCAAGAGAAGAATCTTTGGTTCTTAGTGCACATATTGGTTCATCCAAAGTCCATTCAAGTGATAGAACAAATAAGAGAAGAGTTCATTAATAAGGTAATTTGCATTGCTAATCAACTCTTCCTCTTTGTTTCTTGCCTTGATTGGTCCCATAATCCAAGACCAGACTCGGTTTTGCAGCTCATTATTATTGCGGAAATCATACTTTAAACTGGATTTGTCTAATAAGACAAAGATTTGATGTGGCCTATGAGCCTAATCTCACCTTAGGTTGTCTAACTAACATAATGCCATGAGGAAAGCATAGATTACTTAGAATAATACAACTGCTGGTTGCTGGACTAATGTGGCTGCCTTCTGGCTTCATGTTTCTGTGGCATATGTTCTCCGGCAGCAGTTGTTGTCATCAAGATGAGCTTGCAATTATATGTGCAAGTAGTGTGTTGACTGAGATTTGGTAAGCTAACAGTCGAATTATTTTCTCTGCAGCTTGATCACATAAGCAATGGCAAAATTTCTGATGGCTTGAACTTGATAGAGTGACAGTAGCAGGCAGCAGTGACTGGAAACCATGAGGCACATAACTCTGTTGAATGGTTAAAACCAATCATTTAAGACAAAGGAATGAGGTGCTATTACTGTTGTCTATAACATTATCTGAGCACTCCATCTAATTCCAGCAAATGTTTGCAACACATCAACTGAACTCAAAGAACTGTTTCAGATGCAACTGAAGAAAATGCTTCTAATTCTTAAATGATAAACTTAAGAAGCATTAGATTATCTCCAATTCTTTTGAAATGTGTATATTCTGATGCAATGTTCTGATGTTTGAACCAAATATCACATCTAACATCATGTGATAAAAAGAAAAGACCAATTAAATTGCTTACTGGCTTATCCCAAACATGAGCTGATCTATTCAGATCACTGGCTTAAAATAAGAGAAACCTAAACAGCACAGGATTTGTCATGCTACCACCTGATCTCACTTTGGATTTTAGTTCTTGTACTTGAATACTTCTTTCCTCCTATTAGTAGCATGCAGCAAATCAACACCAGGACTTTGTCCCATGCATAGCATCAAGACAATAAGTTCAAGTGCCCATGTATGATGCTACAAATTCTCAGTATTCTTCCAACCATAAACCTTTTTTACTGAGTTATAACTCTAAGGAAGAACTTCTAACTCAAGGCTTTGTTGAGTGGAATAGACAGTGATCTTTGTGAGTTTTCTTATATGTATAATAAAAAGAAATTCTCATTACAAAGGATTGTTTATGTATGATATATATTTGTGATCCTTTAATTGCCATTTCCGCTAGGCTTTCTTCTGACCTTGTCTAAGTAATGAGACAGCAACCCCATAATATTTAGCAGTTTGCATTGTACAATAAGAATGTGAGAAGAAAGCATACTTGGAAGGGTGCTGATTTGCTTGCCTTTTTATTGGATTGGACTATTAAATACTGGTTTTGGTTTGATGACACATACAACACATGTTCAGATTACATCACAACTTAAGGAGTAATGATTCTTTCTCTTCCTCTGAGGAATCTTTCTCTCCCCATGGGTTGGGAGCCAGGGATCAGAAGAAGGGTACAGACCTCACCATCTCATTCTTATATTTTCTCCTTTACTATTGGTCTAACCTACATGGCTTCCCAAATTTATTCTTACATCCGATATTAGATCAATAACTCACACAGGATGTGAGAGAAGAATTGAGTTAACTTAGACTTGAGTATCTTAAAACAATGGCTCAAGTATATTAAGGTAATAAATCAGTCATAGTATCAAGTGTGATTATAATAGAGTTATCTAGTCAACTATATGCATATTTCTTCTTTTTCATTATTAAAAATATTTTTTTTCTAAGTAACATCAAAATAAGATATTAAAAGAGAGAATGTGTTAGATAGATCTTCTGATTAGAGTAATATGCATGTATGGGTAATTTTTGGAACATATTGACAAATCAGGGTAAGGGCTGCTGGATATGCAGAGCAACTGGCACTTTTGGGGGGCTTTGGACAAAGCCAAAGGTCTGAAACTTCCCTAGGATGCGAAGGACAAGCTCACATGAGCTCAACCAGAGAATTCATGGACCCCTCCCCCCCCCCACCCTTCCCTTTCTCTTACTCCCTTGAAAGAGCCACCATTTACTCTCTTGCCTTTCCCTTCTCTCTCTCTCTCTCTCTCTCTCTCTCTCTCTCTCTCTCTCTGGTTTATGGGAAGCCGGAATACCCTATCTCTCAGCCTTCTTCTGGGAACCTTCTAAGGCAGTCAGTAGGGGCAGAAACAAACAGCTCACGAAGCCAATCCAACACAGACAATATCTCATCAACCCTTCCATGGAAATCAACGAGAACCTGACTAATCTCTGTATCTCTTCTCTGTAGTCAAAGCTGAAGGTACCGATCTCTCCCACCCCTTTGATTCTTTCTCCTTGATAAAAGACATCAGATGAAGAACAGAAAAGAAATAGATGAATTCTTCATGGTGAATGAATATGTAGTGGTTAGTGTAGTTACTAGTTGCAGTTTCATCTTCTGATGCGTATCAGATGGAGTTCACGACCGGAAGAAGAGATGGTTTCTATATCATAGGGGAAGAATCCAAGCATCCTTCCCTTTGTCCTTTATCTTCTTCCTCCTCCTCGACGCCACCGATATCTTCTGCCTTCAGGTGGCACGTTGGTCCATCCGATAGCGCAAGCAACGGCACCGGCGGTGGCCGCAGAGAGAGCAACTTCTTCACGGTGAAGGAGCACATGTTCGACAAGGTGGTCACGCCGAGCGACGTCGGCAAGCTGAACCGGCTGGTGATCCCCAAGCAGCACGCCGAGAAGTACTTCCCGCTGGACCTGGCAGCGAACGAGAAGGGGCTACTGTTGAGCTTCGAGGACCGGACGGGGAAGTCGTGGCGCTTCCGCTACTCCTACTGGAACAGCAGCCAGAGCTACGTCATGACCAAGGGCTGGAGCCGCTTTGTCAAGGAGAAGAGGCTCGATGCCGGGGATATCGTCTCCTTCGGCCGCGGTGTGGGCGAGTCCGGGAGCGACCACCTCTACATAGACTGGAAGCCGCGGCTAGAGAACCATGACATACCCAGGCTGCCGCCACTGGTACCACTCACGGGAGTATCCTTAACGCCGCCATTAGGACCATGGGGCGGCCGGTTCTTCGTCCCTCCGGGAGCAGGGCACTACCATCACCGCCTTGCTTTCGGTTACGACACCATGATCTCCGGCACCACTAGCGCAGATCAGTTTCATTTCTTCGGATCGTCGGTGGCAGGGGCAGCACCGCAGGTTGGGGTGCAACATGACAGCGGCAGCGCCCCGCCGTTAGTCCTCAATTCGCAGCCACTCCTCCACAACCAGGCTGAAGCCAAGCGCGTCAGGCTGTTCGGCGTGAACCTCGACAGCCCCGAGACGCAAGACGATCCCGGAGCTCCTGCTGATCGATCTCCCAGTGCGCGGCGGTTGCGGACGTGCTCTACGCATCCCTTCCCTCCGTTCCCGCGTGGGAGCACGGAGTCCTCGGCAGCTTCGTCATCAACGAGCAAGGAGCAGCACTTAACGTTGGATCTTGGCTTGTGATCGAGGAGGTACAGTATAAGAAAAGGACGTCATCGTCACCCTCCTGAGCAAATACAGATGCATACTGAACTGTCATGGAAGACTAGAGGGATGTATTCGTAGTAAATTCATTTTTCCTTTTTCTTTTTAGTCTCCATAATCTTCTCTTTAGCAATATTGAGTTCATTAAAGCAAGATTTCAGTTTGTGGAACTGCAGGAATTTGCTTTAGTTTGCTCAAACCTATTGCAATACTACACATCACCTACTGCAAGTTTTTGTGTCAAGCTATTTCAGGGTTTCATATTATCTTCTGATGTGTCTCGAGCAGTCGAATGCATGGAAATGGAGGTGTAAAGGTTAAATCTATCTCCTCCTACCATTTCTACATCTTTAAACCACTTTGATTTCTTCTTTGCCTGTTGTGCATCCTTTGACAAGATAATATGTATCATCACACAAACATATGCAAGCACTTCACACAAGAATTGTTAATTAACCTCAAAACAGGCTTGTTTTATGGCATCATAAACAAAAATTATTTGTTCTACTGAACTATAAATGAGGGTGTAAGCTTTTCTATGCGGCTTTGGCTGACACTGGCTGTGCTGCCATATAAAGTTGTGTGTGGAATCTTGATGGTTGAATTGGTTGCCTCATGTATGTACTATGTACTCAGGAAAAATAACTTACAAAATGAGTAGAAGAATAACTGGTACTTTCATTCATGTGAATTTGTCACTCGAGAAGCCAACTCTGAGAATTGAGGTCTGTACTTTGGTACCTGAATATGATCTTATTGTGCTAATTTTTTGCATTAAACTTTTAGGTTTTTTTCTCTCCCTAATAAGTAGCAGTTGTTTTTTTTTTCTTTTTTCTTTTGAGTTAAATATGAAGGTGTCAAGTGCACAAGAACCCTAAAACAAATCAGTTTCAAGAGTTTATATGCACAAGCCAGTGCTACAATTGATTTATCAGTTGGATCAGAAACTTTTGTGTCATTCCTGCATCAAAGCTGATTTATTCTTCATCCTTGGCTAGTCTTCACTTTATTGGTACCTTTTAACTTCTTCTATTGGTTTAGAAACTTTGGGTCATTCCTACAAACATCAAAAGTTATGCTGCAATAAAGCCTGTTATTCTCCTAGCTTTGACTAGCCTTCCTTTAGTCATATATTCAATTTCTTCTAACACTGGTTCAGAGTATTATTATTTGCATCTCAGATCCTTTTGTGAAGAAAGAAAAAGAGGATGATCTTACAGAATGTAATAAACATATTTCTGTTGATAGTACTTCTGTCTGATAATATTAGAGCTTAATTGAACACATGTAATTAGGCACCACAAGTGTCAATTAATGTGTATCCAGCATAGTCCCCAGTCATTTAAGGAACTCTAAATGTAGGGATGAACCACAAATACATGATTAGCATCTTATGAATGAAGCACAAGATTTGTATGATATGAGTTGTGTCCTTATTACAGGAGAAGTTATTGGTGTATTGATTAGTGGATGCATCTTGAAGTCTGAGATTGTCCATCATAATCAGGCTCTTAAAAATAACATGGATTGATGCCTGTGAAAAGCATATCTAATTTGATACAACTTCTAGTGGGGAAATATATTTGTGATTAGCACACAAGATAGATTCAATGATCCACACTAAGATATTTTATGAAAATTCCTCTTTAGAAAGAAGATCTGTGCATTATGTGTTATTAGGGAAATCTAAGAAACTCCATTGAAGGTTTATTTGATTGGTCACTCCCTTAAGAATCAACGATCTTAAGGTTTGCTTAGCATACACACCAGTGCAAAGTGCTTTCCTATGAAGATTTCAACTCCATGACATTGTGAATGATTTCATTCTTTTAATTTTATGAAACATAGTCCTTCTGAAAGTTCCATTGGAAGATTATTGGCTATGCTCCGTAAATCATTAGAACCTAATTACGGATTACGGCAAATTTTCCTTTGAGTCATGGATATATACATCACAATTCAAGGTCCTGAAAGCCATACCGCATTCCGAATAGACTGTTCATCAACTTGAATTATCTTTGCTTTTTTACACAAGGTATGCTGCAAACACAGTTCTTAATAACAGTAGCAGTTGGAGTTCATGCAGTCATCAATGCATCCAGAGTGGGTATATTGTATCTCAAAGTTTCTAGGTTCATTAACAGTCTGTAAGTCAACTTAGATATTGGGTAAAGCATCAATCAAAAGCCCCAAACTGAGTTTTCCTTGTTTTGGATGGTAGAACATCATTCTGGCTTTGATCTTCATCTTGCACAATCTGTGCATCTTTTCTCATTATGATGGATGATGTTCTTTCATGGACTATGTAAGCTTACATTGATTCAATTGGATATCATTCCCCCTTCCATGGCCAAGAATGATGGTGTGGAGTCTGATATCTGTGGTTGAGTCATCAGCATTTTTACCTTATAAGAATCATATAATTTCTTGATTTGTTGCTAATTGTGCACTTGGAATTTTCTAGCTTATGTTCTTATGATTTGAATTCAAAGGCCATTAATGCATTGAAAATGGAACACCAAGTAATCCAGTTTCTATATTTTGATGACTGACTGCATCATGCAAACAATCCATTAGATTTTTCATCCCCTATTTGACTTATCGAGAACCAACAAGACTTCACTCCCTAATCTCATTCTTCTTTGGTAAATACATCAGTTGATGTCTGGATAACTAGAGAGGTTGCACCCAAGTTTCCATCCAAGAACTGCGAGGAGGAAGCAAGAAGCCATTAAATGGGCAGGCAGGCAGGCAAAGGAACAAGTTGCAGAAGGTAATCTTCTTGCCCTCAGTTGCATCTATCCATGGTTGAAACAAGAACCTATCAGAGACCTTAACGAAGAAGATTTCTGTTACCTATGCAACACACAATCTAAAATGGTAGAGTTCATGTTGGCCAAGACACAGCCTCTTGCTTCGTCCGGATGTTCTGCACCCTCCTCATTTGCCATTCTGATCACAGACGAAAAAGCTGTGTTCTCAATTAACTGCATGCAAACTCCTGTCACTGCAACAAAGCATATAGTGTGCATGATGTGCTTGTCCTCGTCTCCAAGGTGGTCCAGCTGCCAAACCCTGGAGAGGAGGGTATATATTCTTTGGCATCTGGCTTTATCTCATCCAATCTCCCCTAGTCGCTGAGAACTCTCTCTCTCTCTCCAATTCTACTCACTGCATGTATGTGGGTCATACTTCCACATGATCAACTGGTATCAAAAACGAGTACCGGGGGACGCAAGTGGAACCTGTGACTTGTCTCTCTCAGCATTCATATGATGAGGATATAAAGAATGATCTGCTCCCTTCTGCAAAGCGGGTGATGCGCGAGGACGAAGGCGTGCAGACGGCTACAAATGCGGCTAATTAAGCTTTGCATGGGACCACGTCGAGTTCCTCTATGCAACTTTTCCTGTCACGTCCTTTTGACAAACTCTTCACACATCTCTTCATAACCCAAATGAATTCCAAACATGTAAGTATGCATTCATGGGATTCATATCCATATCCAATTTAGATCGGACAATTGTGTAACATCTTCCTCGACTCATAGATATGACACACTCAATTAAGAAGCTTCATTTCCCTTTTCTAAGCATATTTAACATCGTTGTTCAACAAACAACGATTAGCTATCGGTGGTGAGTTGGAATTCAATCCAACTCAAAGGTTGCTGTGTACGGACATGGCATGGTGGCCCATTGATCCATGTCAGACGGCCCGCATCTGCACCAACTTAGATCAAAATGTTATTAATGGTGATGGAGGTGGTTGGACTCAATGTTTGCAACTCTCAATCGAGAAGAGCAGAAATGAAGCACCATTTAATCATGCAATTGTTGTTTCAAAACCAATTATTCCATATATTTGATGAAAAACATCGAGTGATTTTTGTGATACCCCATCAGTAGGTATAGATTTGTATTGACTTATAAGAGTTTGATGAACTTAAACACCTTAACTCAATGGGTCAGAATCAAACAAACCTATCATGAGATTTATAATAATTTAATGAGTTTACTATCATTAACTTAAGTTAATCCATCCAAAATTTTCCTTAATCTAAATTAAAGTTTATTGAAACTTAATTAATAAAACTTATCCCTTCAAAACTCCATTAACAAATATTCTAAATCAACTAAAAAAAAACCCAATGAGTGAGACTATCCATAAAAACCAGGATATCTGCCATCCCTGTTTGTTGGAGGAATGGGTTGCTGAATCATGTTGTCCCCAATTATAGGAGGATAAGTTTTCCTCAGATAGGATAGCCATAGACTTCATTCTGTCAAGCACTGTCTTGCAGTCAATCATTGTTATCCAATCCAAGCAAGAAGTGGCTGCATCAACTCAGTGGTGGAGAGACTGATCAGGGAGAACATGAACAATGCACATGTCAGATGGGTTGAGGTGCTGAATCCTTGTGACTGGTCCCCCTATTGCCTTGTTGTGTGAATTGAATTGTGCTCTGGCAAAATATTGGAGTCTTTGTGTCCTCTTCAACCCCTATTGTAGTGATTTTAAGTTCGATTAGCTATTAGAAATAACAAGAAAATTGTAGAACACTTGAAGAGATCGAACCGATTCAAAGCCCTAATATAGAGAATCCCTTTTGGAAGATCGGTCGATGAACCCTAAGAATTGGGAAAACGAAATGATTTGTTTGTCCTCCTTTTCCAACAACGTTGTTCGGCTTCCTTCTTTTAATGCAGCGTATTGCCAAAATGGAAAAGCACTACGATAAATTGACGCCTCGAATGGAATCCGATACGTCTGAATCCAAAAAGCACGGAATAAAAGTGTTTGACTTTGACCTCACTGGTCCTTTGTTGGATTTTGAATCTGCTACCGGTTTGACTAACCATCAACTCTTACTATTAATTGCCTTTCTTCTTCTCTCTAAATCTCTTCGATGAACCGACGAATCGAATTTGAGTTACCCGATTCATTGCATGTGGTTTCCGTCTGGAAGGTTTTTGGACGCAAAGATTTGATCCGATCTGCAATTTCGTCAAACGCTTTAGTTCCGGTCAACGTTAGCACGGGCGATATAAATCACGTGGCCGATTAGTGATGCACGCCAATCATATCCGAGCGTCCCACGGCGCGAGGTAACGGTCGATTTCCGTACTCGTCGCAGCTCGTTCGCGCGATACCCATCCTGTTCGTATGCCTAGTGGATCCCACGGGCCTCGCCGCTGGGGCCGCCGCAGCGGCCAGTCGATCATCCGTATCCGAGCGGGTGCCGACGAAGGGGTAGGAAATGCTCGTATGATCGATCGAGGAAGCGGCACGACGCGTGGTTCTCGCTGTGGGTTCGTCCACACGTGTCACGAGAATGTTCGATTCTTCCACCCGCAGTTCGTTCACGCAACCCCGCAGCTCATATTACTCAGCGTCACTTTCACTACCAGCTCTGGACCCACCCGCCTAGGTGTTGGTAGCTGGAGCGGGGCCGACAGAGACTTTAAATTGGGCCCATCGATCCTACCAACCATTTGGCGGGTCGGTTAGTTGACATGTAATCTTAGAAAATAAACGAATCTCACATACGGAAGCGATAAATTTTCATGCGTCTCATCGTTTACCTACTTATGATTGGAGGAGCAAAGTTGGGCCTTGTGGGACCCAGCCAATAATATTCCTCTGTTCTCACAGCTCAACGGTGTGAACAGCATACGATTTTTATTGGGGTGATCGTCGCAAAAAGCAAAGAAACAAATATTCTTTGACGGTCTTTCTATTAAGGCGAAGGGGTTGGCCGCCTGACTCCTGGAATTCCACTTCTTCGAGATCCATTGATCTGACAGAGAACAGAGGAGAAGAAAAGACAGTGATCGCTCGTCGACATGAGGAGGTGTCGTCGCGCTCCCTGTTAGGTTTCTTCCCTTTCCGATTCTTCCTTCGTCCCTAGTTCTTTCTTCCTCTTCATGGCGTCTGGGTTCCCCGGGCGTGAGCTCGGCTTGGGGGGCAACGGAGAAGGAAACCTCTTGAAGCGCACGCTCTTGGACATGGAGAGGCAGCAGATGCAGCACGCGATTTTGCTGCGGTCGGTGAGGCAAAGAACTCAGGCCGTGCCTTCCGTCTCCATGTTCGACCCCGTTGTCGGTGGCCTTAGCTGCAACTCGTCCGCCGCTGCCGCGCCCGAACGCATGGGCTCATCCCTGTCGTCCGTCGATTGTTCCGAGCCTGGGTTCACGGCGAGAACCGGGTTGCCGCCCCCCGTGTCGGCGACCGCGACGGTGAACTTGCCGGCTCCAGAGAGTAGGTCTTCCGGCTCGATGCGGGACCAGCTCCGGGAGCTGGAGCGGCGGCTCCTGCTGGACGACGAGGAGGAGGCCGAGGCCAGCGCGCCTTCGGGCTCCGCCGTCACCCACGCCGAGTGGGGCGAGGCGATCCAGCGGCTCATCTCCCCGCCGCCGCCGCTGCTCCCGACGGCGGTAAGCCGCCTCTCGCCGTCGCCGACCGACTCGTCTTCCTCCACGGTCTCTTTCGCCTCCTGCTCCCCTCCCTCCTCCTTGCCCTCCCCTCCTCCGTCGAGACAGATGCTTCTTGACACCGCTACCGCACTCGGCGAAGGGAATCTGGAGGCTGTGAGGGCGAATCTCGCTGTGCTCAAGCGTGCGGCTGACCCTCGCGGTGACCCCGAGCATCGCCTCATGGCGGTGATGATTGCGGCGCTTCTCTCTCGCCTCAATCATCCGCAGGTGGGAAGCTCCCACCCGATCACGGACCTTCGCAGCCCGGAGCACTTCATGGCCACCCAGATGCTCTACGATCTGTCGCCCTGCTTCAAGCTCGGATTCGTTGCCGCCAGTTCCGCGATCTTGGAGGCCACGAAGGAGGAGTCCAAGATTCACATCGTCGACTTTGAAGTCGGGCAGGGCGGGCAATACGACGCTCTCCTCCTCGCCCTCGCCAAGCGCCGCTGCCCTCCGGCCGTCAGGATCACCGCCGTCGCTGACCCGTCCTCCCCATTCACCAACATTAACATTGGCGATATGAGGGCGGTCGGGGACCGGATAAAAAATCTTGCGGAGCGGGCAGGCGTAAGGCTCCGGTTCAGAGTCGTCTCCCTCCGGGCAGCAGAGCTGGACGCAGCGTCGCTTGGGTGCGAGCCCGGTGAGGAGGCCCTGATCGCCAACCTCCCGTTCGTCCTCTCGCGGGTGCCCGACGAGAGCGTCTCCCCGGACAACCCCCGCGACGAGCTCCTCCGGCGCGTGCGCGCCCTCCGGCCTCGCCTGGTGGCGCTCGCAGAGCAGGAAATCAACACCAACACGGCGGCGTTCCCTGCCCGGCTCGCGGAGGCGTGCGGGCACTACGGGGCGTTGCTGGAGTCGTTGGAGGCGGCGGCGCGGGGGAGCCCGGATCGGGGGTGGGCGGAGGCCGGTCTGGCGCGGCGGGCGGTGAACGCGGTGGCGAGGGAGGGGGCGGAGCGGGTGGAGCGGTGCGAGGTGTTCGGTAAGTGGCGAGCGCGGATGAGCATGGCCGGGTTCCAGCCAGTCCCGCTGGGGCCGGCCGTCGTCGAACTCGTGAAAGCCCGGGTCGCGTCCACCTGCTCCGACCCGGGGTTCACCGTCAAGGAGGAGGCCGGCGGACTCGCCCTCGGGCTGGGTTGGATGGGCCGAGTGCTCACCGTCGCATCCGCATGGCGTTAAGCGGAATCCATCAAACACTAATGATATAAATTATTATGATCGTTACGGAGATATTACCAACGATATTTCTCCTGTTATTTTGGTGATAATTATGATCCCCATTCACTCATTTGACAGCGTTGATGACTCTTATGCTGTAAAAGTATGGTTATATTAGTGCTTAAAAATGGCCTAAGAATGATTTGGTTCATTAAGAACTTGTATCTTTGTTGTTATCGATGCGTAACATGAAATAACGCGGAGATGTGAACACTGCCGCTGGATTACTAGTTGGTCTTCGAGTGGAAATCTAATTTGGCACGACAAATCCATGTGACAAATATCTGTCTGGTCATCACGAGGCCATTCGAACGTAAGCGCTTAACGTGAACCGGTGAAACTGCCATCACCCTGTGGTCTGGAGCTTCCCGTTCCTCCGCCAGAAGGCCCTCCGCCACCACATCTCGAACCCCTTCTGGATGTTGGGGCAGTCGTCGCCGGCGTTCAAGAACCGGTGGAACCAGCCAAGCAGGACCTCCTGCTGAGTCGCCAGCGGCAGCGTGAGGACGGTGTTGGCGAGGCCTTCCTCGATCAGGTGGCGGTCGAGGCCGTTGCAGCGCTGCCGGATCCACCCGAAGTCCTCGTAGAAGGACTCCATCCAGGTCCGCAACAGCAGGCATCGCGCCTCCTTTGGCACCAGGATCTGGCCCTTGCCAACTCCGATGAACAGCCGGGCTGTCACACGGCTCACCTCGTACCGATTGATCGCTGGCACCCGAGGGTGCAACTCCGACAGCTCCGTCTGGCAGGCCCATGTCCGCAGGAAGTCGTCGGCAGACTGCCGGTCGATGAGGATGTCGAGGATCCAGTGGAGGTTGTCGGCCTGCCGCGCGATCTGGGCGGCGTCCGTGAGGTCGGAGGCGGCGGCGCGGGCGAAATGGTGGCGGAGAGAGCGGAGGCATCTGTCGGATGCGGTGTAGAGAGACTTCTCGATGAGGTCCCCACCTCGTCCTTCGCTCGAACCTACGCCGTTGCCCGGCCCGCCTCCATTGGTGGTGGTGCTGTTCTCGCGGATCAACTTGGAGACGAGGCCCTTCATCTCCCGTCTCGCCTTCTCGTCCTGTCCTTCCAGCACCACCTGGAGCAGACGGAGGAGGACCTCCTGGCTGTCACATCCGCTGTTGGCCTCGTCGGCGGCGGACGGGGCTACTTCGAGGGAGACCCTCTTAAGAACCTCCACTGTGCCCAAGCTCTCTAAGTGGAGCTGAGACAGAAGCGAGGCCACCTTCTCCTCCTCGTCCTCCGCCCAGGGGGAGGCTTCTAAGTACTCGAGGCATGATAAAACCCCCGCATCGAATGCGATCGCAGCCGAAACCTACCGAACAGTGCAGAAATGGTGACAGGGGACGCAGTTGTAGCAGAAAAAAGTGCAAAGAGAAATTCTAAAGGCGGCACCTTCAGAATGCCAAGGACCTTGGAGACGTCCTCCCGCATGAGGCGACGGCGAAGGTCCTTACAGTACATGAGGCAGAGGGTCTCCACGTAGATCTCCACGTCATCGCAGTCGGAGATCTCGACGATATAGGGTAGGGAGCGCTGCTGCTTGGACCAGAGGTCGCGGAGCTTGGCAGCGAAGAAGCGGCTGTGGCCGACGAGGATGTGACGATGGACATTGAGGGAAACGGTGAGGCCATCCATGGAGCTGAGTGTGAGGTGGACATCACCAGACTCAGGGTCATTCAGCTGGTTCCCGGGGCTGCAGTTGCCGATGATCTCGGCCACACGATCCTGAAGAAGGAGCTGCCGGTCCTGGGGGGAGGTGGCCTCGGGGTCGGCAACGGCGCGACCCAACTGCTGCATCGGAGGGTGAACGACGTGTTCGGGGGAGCGGCGGTAGAAGCCCTGCTCGTTGGTCATCATGTCGAACAGGGTGGGGCTGGAGCGGCTTTTGTCAAGCGCGGCCAGCGGCGGGGGAGACATGGGTTTGAGGAGCCCGGCACCGAGGGCGAAGTTGAACTTGCTGTAGCTGGAGGAACAGAGTGCATAGGGGGAGGAGAACGCGGCCGGGGCAGCGGCGGGGAAGGCGTCCATAGCCGCGGCGACCACGTCCTCGGCCCAGTCCTGTGGGCCACAGAGTGGGCGCGGCTGGGCGGCGGGTGAGAAGGACGTAGTGGCGCAGCACCAGGAGCCGTCGGAGGGGACGCCGTGGGTGGCGGTCACGGGCTTGCCTTGGTGCTCGATCCGGTGTCACAACTGCGGCCGTTGTTGTTACTCCTGCTGCTTGGTGTGGGTTTTGGGCTGGTGGGAGTAAGCTGCCATCAAGAGGGGGTATCCTTTAACTCATCCTCGCCTCTCGCCGCGGTTGTCGTCTTTCCATGAGAGCGAAAGAAACGGGACCGTCGTCGTCGTCGTCGTCTCCGTTCACGAGAATGTTCATGTGCATCGATCAATCCAGTAACTCGCCCATACCTTACCTTGTACTCATTATGCTACGCAGGCAGAGACCAAAGAATGCAAGAAGCGGAAGATACAGCGCGGCAGGCCGCAGCACAATGAGCAGAGCTGCATTATAGTTGGGTCATGCCGAAGCGGGGGAGGAGAGGGAGCGCGTGGTAAATCATTGTCATGTTCCGAAGCAACCTTGGCCTTTGTCAGGAGAGAGTGGAGTTAAAGGTAGTCAGCAGGGCAATGGGCTCGTGTCTCTGAAACTGCAGCACGCAGCTTTCAATGTCCAATGATTACAACAGCGTGCCGAAGAAGATGGAGGAACAGAGTTTGACTGCGGGATCAAGTTTGACAGTATACTTATCAAGGAGAGATACAACTCGACCTCGTCGGAATTGGTCGAACTCGACCACATTTGGCTGAATCTAGTTGTCATTTAGGTTGCATCTGAACCAAGATTTAAAATCACATCGATCAAACACAGCCTAAAGTTTGGTTTGGATCGTGGGAATCACAACCGTTCATCTCACCTCCTTTCTTCATCTAAATCGTCCGTTTGATGTGTATAAATAAATTTTTGGTATTTTATATCTTGAATAAATCTACGGTCGAGATTAAAAGGTAAAAGTGAAATGAACGGATGAGTTTTGGTCAATCGTTCGCTTCGTAGAATACGAAAGAACACTTCGTCCTTAATAGAAAATGCATACCTAATTCTTCCTAGGGTTCAACTTCGGCTTCAAACTCCGAGTTCACGGGAGGAGCGTGGTTGGGGCCTCGGCGGCGGTGCAGCGGGCGGCGGGAGCGGCGCGGGACGAAGGCTGCAAGACATGGCGACGCCGGAAACTCCCGCCTGCTACTCTGGAGTCACCCGGCAGTCCGCCGCCTTCCGCCTCATGAAGCAAATGGTATTGCATCTCTATCCCTTGAGTTCGTCCGGATGTTTCCTTTCTTCGGTGATGATATCGGTTATGTCGATATCGACGCTTGATCTTGATTGAATGTCTTGGTGTTGGCGATTTGTTCTTTAAATAATATGAAGAAGAGTTGATTTTGACAGTTTATATGCATCTTTCAACTCACAAGATGTTGGCAGTAGGAATTATCAACGAAAGAAACAAATTGAGAAAAAAATAGTGGGTATATTAAGGTTCAGCCTATTAGTTATAATACTATTAAAAGTTTATGTAAATGTGTATGAAAGAGCCGAGTATTGTTTGATATTATAAGATTTTTATTATATTTTTCAGAATCTTCACTTCTACTGGTTGTTGCTGAATCATTGTCTTGGATGTTTATAATCAAACACATGCAGTGTCTCTTCACTTGTCATATACTCATGCGTTCAATTTGTGCTTTTTTCTTAACTTCTGTTAGGGCTGGGAAGAAGGTGAAGGCCTTGGCAAAGACAAGCAGGGCATTAAGGGACATATTAGAGTAAAAAACAAGCAGGATACAGCAGGTTATTGTCTGATTTCCTAGTTGGAAGCCAAAATCAAATTTACTACTGGTGTGTGGATAAAATGATGAAGTAATATTTTGCATATATTTTTTATTTTGTAAACAGGCATTGGTTTGGATAAGGCTTCTAATAATTGGGTGTTTGACACCTCGCAATTTGACAATATCCTGAAAAAATTAAAAGTGGTAATGCCTATGCTCGGATGAAAAATTTATTAGTCTTTTTTTATTCTTGCTGAATGTTTCTGATCTTCATTGCTTCTTATTCTGTTGTTTGATCGCAGCAAGTAGCTGTTCCTGATGAAAAAGGTATCTTGATATTATATTGTTGAAAATTTGCTATTTCTGCATGTTGCAAGCTTGTTGATTTATGGCATTTGTGTTTTACAGAAACAGTGGAGACAGACGATGTTCACGTTGAATCTGGAAATGGTACATCAAAAGATGATCCAGTTATGAAGGCCACTCGGCCTCAAGGAAGGTTGACTATGTTCTTTCAGTGTCATATTTAGAAAGGATACGAATGGTTTTCCATTTATGGTTATGATTCTCGAGTTCTGAACAGGTACAAGAAAAGAGAGAGAGGAAAGATTGTGAATGCATACTCCACAAAGGATCTTCAGGGTATTCTTGTAAGAGATTGGCCCTCTTATGAGAAGTCTTAAATTCAGTCATTCTTTGATGTGTTTAGTATTATGATTCTTTACAACAAAATAATAACTATGGTTATTGATTCTAAGTTGTGATCATCCTGGGAGATGTACATGGCTGCATGCTAATCGGCAATTCAACATTTGGTCTTTCTGTAATCTGTACTAATTAATAATTAGGTTTTTCTTATAGAATACCTAAATTTGTTGGCCTTTGCAGGTAGATGTTGGTTTTGTTGTGTTGACATCTTTTACTTATTCATTGGTTCTTTTTGGCAATTGATCATCATAATTGTTTCTTGATTAGTTGACTTGCTTAGTCCAGAATTTGCTTCTCAACACGAATGACATATTATCTGATTGGTTGGAGGCCCTCCAAACTTATTGTTTGTAAATACTACTTTAAGGGATGCAACAATATTTTTGTCCTCTGTGACATATATGTTGAGGCAACACATGATAGGACAGAGGGCTAGATCTTGTAAATTAGGTTGGTAATGTACAGAACATAAGATAAATTGTCTAGCTGCTATATGCCATGATCTGATCTTATAGTTCAATGACCACACCACCTTGCTCTCAACAAGGCTCATTGGTTGAGAAATGTACTATTTGTCCTTGTAGTATCTGGGTATGGCTTGTTAATTATAGTTATTACAGTTTCATGATTCATCTTCATGTAATGGTAATAACAAGGAAGGTGAGTTACAATTTTGATATCTCTAGAACGTTTCAAATTTTGACAGTTTGATATTTTGTGGTTCTGTACATTTCACATTGAATTTCAGAAAATTTAGTTCTCTTTTGTTAGTTTCAGTTCTATATGTTGTCCTCTTTTAAACATAACTTTTGCCAGAATAGGCCAAGTGCATCATTTCCACATTGTAATAATCAGAATCACATAAACATTCCAATCTTGATTTGCACAAGATCTTGAAGGGAGTTTTCAATCAAAGCTGATTAATTCTGATCCATTTTGGCTGATCCAGTTTGTGATTGGTTGAAATGCAAAACCCTAGATGTAATTTTGTGCTACCCTTTGTTTTGAGATGTCATATAGAATTGCTCTATGACATTTTATGGTGTTTATCCATGCAGTTTAATTTTGTGGAGTGGAGTTCTGTTTATCTCTTTTATTTGAAAGGTAAATGGTTCTCCTAATGCTGACTTGTCATCTGCAGGTAAGTAAAGGTGAAGAGAACTGTCAGGCTGATGCTGATATAGATGATGAAACTACATTTACAATAGTTGATTCGGACAATCATCAAGAAGGTATATCATATATTGAAATATTATTCTGTGGGATTCTTTTTCTTTTCATTGTTTTTGTTTCATAAGTTGATGTGGTAGGTGTCTGCAAGAATTTCAGATATTGTGTTAGAAAATTTTTACCATTCAATTGTTCTGTATGTATGTTTTACTTGTGGATCTAGTTAGGCTGTATTTTGTGCTATCTAAAATTACCCGGAATCGTTTTATAGATAAGCTGCAGTTTCTCTTTCATGCTATTTTGTTCACGTAGGTGCCTCGGTGTTGATTATGAAAACCATGCACAATACCTGATAGGTATATGTTTTTTTCCCTAAGGCATAGGATATAATTGATCATTTGATAATGGATTTTCGTTAGACCATGACACTTTCTGTTTCACGTTCTATCAATTAATTTGAGTGCTGACTTTCTCTCTGTGTTTCTTGTAAGGAAGACATTTTATGTCCATCAAATGATGAAATTCCTTATGAAGGTTGTTGGTATTCCATTTAAATTATTAAAACATGTGTATCTTGTTTTTGACTAACTATAGTTCGGAGGAAGTATCACATGGATGATGCCTTAAGTTGGTTTCTTGATCTAAAATTGGCATGGGAAGCTTTTGTTGGTGTTTATCAAGTGTACATGCCATGATTGTTGCTTGTGCAATTGGATTTGGTATGACTCCCCTTTTCAGCTGTGTTGTACTACAATTTTAATGTGTCATTGATTCTTTAACTAATGAGCTTTTTTGGCACACAGTGCAACAATTATTTGGCTGAGGCTAGTTCAGGAAGGTCATGCTTCAATTTGATGAATTACTGAGATTTCTCAACTAAATGTTTAGTGATTCTCATAATCAACCTTCACTGATCGTTCAACTAATTTAGGACTTTCATCTTTCTTCTTTAATTTAATGTTCATTCAACTATAATCTGACTCTTCTCCTCCCTGCTGCTTTTACTAGTAGTTAACTATGTTATTTTTATATGCTTTTCTACTGTGCACTGGAAATATATAATTCTCTCTGGCATTTACATGTAGTAAGCCTCAAAGCTGAAGATGCACAGTGGTGGGGTCACAATCATGGATTCGTTTCAGGAGGTTTTCTTGGAACAAAATCCCATGCTACTAAATCATGCCTACAGAAAGATTCTCGATCTTTGGCTTCAAATAAGCGTAACACGTTTGCGGAGGAAGATCAAGAAAACTTGTACAAACTTGTTCAGGTACGCACTGGCATCTTTTGCCATTTAGTGTTTTGATTTCTTGGACAAATACTTGCTACAAGATGCAAATGTTGTTATTCAATACTTTGCCTCAAATACCATGTTATCGTTAACCATGTTAAGTTTCTTAGATAAAAAAGGATGCACCCTAAGCTCTTAGATAAAATGGTAAAGTCTTCAGTTGGATTTGGTGCTGAGTAGAATGTATGACTAATACTTATTATCACAGCTGGTTCATGCAATAATTCATTTTTCTTAGGATGCATAAATATGGCTATCTTGTATTTTTTTATTAATTATTTGCTGGTTTTCAATATCTCAACCTCAACTTATTTTCTCAAAATTGGTGGTGGGTTTCAAGTTACTGTAGGCATAAACACAGTTCATATTTTGATTTTCAAAATAATATGCAATTAAATAACATATTTAGAGAAATATGTGGTTAAGGTTAAACAATGAAGGGTTCGACACATGCTATGGTTGTTAGTTACTAGAAGCAAGAGCTGAAATGGTGTGTAAGTGTGTGTATATATACAGGTATGAAGCACCTGGTTAGCATGCAAGTGATCTATAACTTTTCTATATATACAAACAAAATATTTGGTTATTTTTAGGATATTATGAATTTGAAAAGTAAATTTACATCAATACAACTATTATGATTTTTAAACAATTTTTTCTTTATCTCTTCTTTACTTCCCTCCTCTTCTCTTATTTACCTTTATTGTTATGGTAGTTGCTGGTTGGAATATGATATTTATGATCAATTGTTAAAAGTTTAATCGGATGGGATCCAAACTACCCTGTATTCATATGGGATTAAAGTATTATATCTAAAGCCTTGCTCTTGATCTTGCTGCTTCCCTCTTGTAATGAATGTGGGGGCCAGCAGCAGCACAAGGGCACAAACGTGGCATTTGCATGGCTCGCCCAAGGCCTGGGGAGTCTTGGTGTTTGTTCTTTGCTCTGATTGGTAATGGTCGTCTATCATTTTGGATACTAGGGAATGGTGATCAGAACTTTTATTAGAAAGTGTGATCCCCATGTGGTTATTTTCTGTGAGTTGGAACAGGATCACAAGTTAGAACCTGGTACCATGACACTCTATGAGTGCTTCCTGCCACTAAACCATGGGCAAATAAAGAAGTTATGAGATGACATTTATAATTTTATTTGTGAAGCTATTTAAGTGATAAATTATAAGAAAGTAAAAGTTAAACATTCCAAGTGCTTAATGTTATATTATTGACCATGTATTAGAGTAGTAAAAATTATTACAATGCTAAGCATTATCAGTGATGAAGAGACAAACTATATATATGGCTGCGCATTTCATGCTTATGCATACGGCATACCATGCTTGTGACTTATATTTTATGTAATATGATAACTTAAGGGTGCAGACCACACCTGTGACTGTATATTCTTATGCAGTAATATGCAAATTGAGGGCCTCATTTGAGGAGGTTATCTAGTTGGATCCACATACATGGGCGCATACACCCTTTTCTCGACCACTAGTCAAAACATCAAGAAACATGGCTCTGGATTCGGACGTGGGTTGATAACCATGAACTACATCCCATAAGATGTGGTTGTGTCACCATCCCCTTGCATTTGTAGCTGGTCTTTATTGGGTGTATATACCATCAGGCATATTTGTTACATCTGGCAAACATTCTGTTTGGAGTTATCCATGTTATCTGCTAGTGATCTGGCTGGGGATCGTTCGCTAGTTATGATGTCTCATGAATAGCTGGTGATGGGTTTACTCCCTTGTTCCATATATTGCAGGAGAAAGCGACAACAGGAAAACAGGGGCTTGGCATCAAGAATCAGCCAAAGAAGATTGCTGGTTGTCACTGGAAGGGGAAGAAAACATCTTTCAGTGACAATGATGGTGAACATTCTGATGATTCTAGTGGTTCAACAAAACGGAAGCGAAATGAGGATGTAGAATCTGGACACAATGTGCAGCCCAAGATTAAGCTGAAGAAATTGTGTAGAGAGCTTCTTCATCAGGTTAAAACCCAAAAAGATTATATTTCATCCTATGCATGTTTATGTTGCTAACATGACTTACAATTTTAGGCACCTTCTCAATCAATGAAGTTGAAGCAGCTTAAAACATGTATCGAGGCACATTCTACTTCTCTCCTTTCCAACTTTTCCTCAAAGCGTGATGCTTTGTCATACTTGAAGAAAAAGGTACTTGTTTTCTGAAGCTTTTTGTTTTTGATGATTTAAAACTAGCAGAAGTATTTTTCATAATTGTTGCTAGTGGTTTCGCTAGTAGGTTAGATGATACTGTTGGACAAGGTATCTTGTCTGATGGTGGCAAAGTCAAAATGAAGTGTTCTGGACTCAAGCTCACTCTGAGATATACGCTTTGCTCTATAATAACATGTATTGGTTCAGAGTGTCACTAAATAGGAGTTGCCTACATTTGACAGAAAAATGAATTGAAGATAGAAATGCTAATACTGATTCGATTTATTATGCTGCATTATGAGATATTGTCCTCAAATAGGTAGTTTCATATTAGTTTATGCATCATCCCTCGGTATTCTTTTCTTCGGTATTTGTGGTTGAATACAACGTCTGTCATGCTGAGTCAATTGACTTGCTCCATATTCCATTTGAAGCTGCAAGTATGATAAGAGTTTTTGAGTATTTTTTTTGTGATGGGATTAACTTACATTTTAGTGGCACAACACAATGCTTTGTGTCACATGGGATGGCTTTAGGATCCACTTTAGATTGCTTTTCCACTTAATTGCTGCTGGCCACAAGCCAGTTTGGCTGAATGACTAGTGATTGTCTAGAGAAATGCACATTGGATGCATGTCCTGCACCTGCATGAATAACCTTGTCTGTTAAGTTAGCTGGTCTAACCACTATTATGACTCCAAATGACTGGCGAGCCCAAGCTTTAGAATAATGGGTTTTTTTGCTCAGCTTGTAGATTGCCTGAACGGATATACACGCCCATGATGATTGCGGACATATTTGTTCTTCGATTTTGTACATCCCGTTGTCTTATTTTGCTTTTCAATCTAAATCTTGCATGAGGGACTGAAAGTTCATGAAATTTGTATTTATTATAAACCATGTTTTTCCCTGAAGGAATTCATTGCACATTTTGGGACACTATCAATGTTATTTTCCTTTGGATGCAGTTAGAAGGCAGCAAGACGTTCATTGTGGAGGGAAAGACAGTCTCTCTGTCCGCATGACATAAATATTGGTAATTAATCAAAATGATGGTTATTTGAATTCATTTGGAGAGCATGCAAAGAATTATACGCCTTTTTTCCGGTATTTGTTTTTTTACAATTTAAAGTCTCTGAGGAGAAAAATTTTGCGATTCATTTAGATGCTTTAGACATAATATGGTTATTTACCCGGAGTGTTCATTGATTTTCCTTGTCAAAGCACAAAATCACCTGTTCTTGATACAAGTCTTGAGGTTTGAGTAGTAAGATAAAATTATTTTCTGGTTCCAAAAATCCTCTGCCTGAAAGGTCTCGAGGTACCTTAGTAATAGTGGATGACATTTTGCTGCGTGCTATTCGTTTTACATAGTGATAAATTCATAGATGAATAGAAGCTTTTGTTATACATGTTTCTGGTGAGTAGCATCAACTTTTAATATTTGCATGATTGACTTTAGGAAATTCAAGTGTCTGAAAATACTCTATTGGTGTCGTCAATTGGTTGTCTTCTCCCTTTTTGATGTTCATAAAGGGGGTATTAGTGTTGATTTAGAGTTCTAATGTTATTATGTTATTTAGAGAGATAAATAAATATATATATATATAGTTTTTTTTATCAGTTTAAATAGATGGAACTAGAAATGTAAACAATGTAAATAAATCAGTAGGAAATAAAATAAATAACATCCTTAAGTTTCTCGGTCGAAAAACTTTGTCCACTTGGTTAGCTCCTTGGTGCTCGTGGAATCTATTCTCTAGAATTGGCATCATTTTCAATATCACGAGCTCGTTGATCTTTTTCTGTGGTTCAGTATTGTTTAGATTCAACTTTTTTTGTTATTCTTGATTTGGATTGATAGCTGCAGGTAACATCCCTTGCTTTCAGAACATGAAAAAAATGTCAAAGGAGTACATATATATGCTAAAATTGCATATATATTTGTATTTATTTCTTGATAATAAAAATCCTATTTTTATGCTTCTATTACATCATATATGATAATTTGATACTAACTCAATACAGAAACAAAATTTATATTCTTGAAGGATATATATGTATGTGCAACTATTTATCATCTGTTCAAAGTGGGAATATGGAAAAACTTAGGAAGACTTGGATTGAATGACAAACTCTTCCCAACGTTTGAAAAGAAACGCGAACTTTTATCTAAATTCCCAGTACTGGATTTGAAGGAAGAAACTATTCCAAGTGGTCCAGTTCAGGCATCACCACCACGAGCAGCCCTGTTGAATCAAGCATTGTTGCAGACATGCTTATTAGCCAAGACAATCCCCGTCTTTCAACCCACAGTTCAGAGTTCCACAAATGTGAAACTTGTTTCTTCCACATAGCTGACAAAGCACGCCTCTGAAAACACGCACTGTTCAGCTTCTTTAGCCGTGACTTCCTCATTCGTTCAACCCACACGTGTGTGTGGCTTCAGTAGGAATGACATATCTGCAGGTGTTTGATCTCAACTTCATCCCTAAACCACTTAATTTTACTTTAAACCCTGCGATAGTTGACCACATCGAGGTAGAGAAAGCGATTCCCTTATCTTTGTGGTCATGGAAGTGCCTAATTTTGATACGACTGATGAAATGTCATCTTCTCCACTTTTACCCTCGAGAAAAGTATCAACTTTCATGGTCGCCGCAGAGTTTGGTCAGCAACCACGCTACTGACTTCCCATCTCGCTAGTGTACCGCTCGAGTAATGGAAACGACAGTTGTTTCCGTAATGGTATATTGGTACTCTACGTAATAGTGTATATATATATATGTAAGTCGACTTAATATTCATAGGCTTCTAACATCGCTTCTCATATGTAAGTCGATTTAAGTTTGTCATACGAACGAAATAGATATCTTATCTAAGCAAGCTATGAACAACATTAACTTTATCTACAGCTCATTTTTCCTCGTAATTTAGCCATGGAACCACTGGAATTGACGTCATCATTCGTAAAGCCATTTGGCGTACGTACAATAAACCAAACTCGCATGCCTCCTCAGCCACCTATGGGGACGCATCATTTTCTCTTGTAAACACGCCTTAGATCTGCATCGTCAACATAAGACTGCCGTCAAAGAGTCAACGCCAAGAGAGCGGGGCGGTCCAAATCGCTGATCGATCCTATCCGTAGGTCGAGCCATTCTCAATTGGGATCAAATTGTATGAGCAAGGCCTCGCGCTCCCTTAACGCGATGAACCATTGCTCGTTGATTCAAACTTGTCGGTTGAATTTATTGCTCTCATAGTCCGATAGCTAACTGAGACATATAAAGAAGCAGCACAAGATGCAGAGGAAACGTCAGAAACAAGGGAACGAGGAAGAAGACGATGAGATGGCCTTTGCCGAAGCCAGTGAACATTACAGAGCCAAAATTTGAATTGCCTCTCCATCTGCTATCAGTCGTCGACATCTTAAATAACCCTGGACTTGATGGTCCCCCGAGATGAAACCTATGCAGTCACCATTTCTGCGTCATTGCCGACGCCTGTCTGCGGCAGCCTTACATTTCCACCCATCTCCCTGCTTTCACCGAAGCTTCATCGGCCGAACTCACTCACGTGCTTGATTTACTTATACTCGCAGACCGGAAATAAATTTGAAGTCACCTGTTTTTATCTTTTGAACGTTGAATTAGTCTTCCCATTCCAGCTTTAAAGTCTCTCATCCCCTTTGCATGCGTCTTCGATATGCCAGCAAAGCACGAGCTCACCCTTCTTCTCTTTCTCGAGGCTTTCCATTACGTTGTTCATGGGGATTCCCGGTGACGAGATCCTCTCCAGGGTCGCTACGGGCGATGGCCACGGTGAGAACACCTCGTACTTCGATGGCTGGAAGGCCTACGATAATGATCCTTTCCACCCGATTCATAATCCCAATGGTGTCATCCAAATGGGACTCGCAGAAAACCAGGTAATGCTTGTTTCTGGCTCTGTCCATTACTTTCTCCTCCTCCTGCTGCTGCTGCTGCTAATGGGTTTCGGTCTGCCTTTCCTCAGCTCTGCTTGGACTTGATGCGAGATTGGATCAGGAAGAATCCACAGGCTTCTATATGCACCAAGGAGGGCGTTTCAGAGTTCGAAGCCATCGCTAACTTCCAGGACTACCATGGCCTGCCGGACTTCCGTAAGGTAATCACCGTCTGCAGCCATAATGCAGCTCCTCGATCCCTTACTCATGCGTGCCATGAACGATGAGGGCACAGTTGGATCGATATGCGTTGCTATAGCCGAAAGGTAATGACGCGATCATCTATGGAAATGCACAGGCCATTGCCAAGTTCATGGAGAAAGCGAGAGGAGGACGAGCCAGGTTCGACCCGGAGCGCATAGTGATGAGCGGTGGAGCCACCGGAGCTCAAGAAACGATCGCATTTTGTCTGGCCAATCCCGGGGACGCCTTCCTCATTCCGACGCCATACTACCCAGCGTACGTATGCCTGTTGAGTCAACATTCTGATCTCTCAAGTAATTGCGTCGTCAACTTCCCCGTTCGAACAAATGTTCCAGCCGACCAATCAGTCGTGCAATGACCCAAACGACAGTCAAACTTTTATCTGCCTGAGCATTGACCAAAACCACACCATTCAACGTAATTGTGGTCATGCAATCCGACACTAAAGAACGACATTTGGTTCTTCTCAGGTTCGATCGAGACTTCAGGTGGAGAACTGGAGTTCAGCTCCTCCCTATTCGCTGCCACAGTCACGACAACTTCAAGATCACCGAAGCCGAGCTTGCTGCTGCCTACCGGAAGGCGCGCGACTCTAAGATCAGGGTTAAAGGAATACTAATAACCAACCCGTCGAATCCTCTGGGCACAACCATGGACAGGGAGACGCTAAGAACCCTAGTAAGATTCGCGAACGAGGAAAGGATCCACCTAGTCTGCGACGAGATCTTCTCCGGCACAGTCTTCGACGGGCCGGAATATGTCAGTGTGGCGGAGATATTGCAAGAGGATCCGTCGACCTGCGACGGAGACCTAATCCACATCGTCTACAGCCTGTCGAAGGACCTCGGCGTCCCCGGATTCCGTGTCGGCATCATATACTCGTTCAACGACGCGGTGGTCAGCTGCGCTCGGAGGATGTCCAGCTTCGGACTGGTCTCGACGCAGACTCAACGCCTGCTTGCTTCCATGCTGGGAGACGACGACTTCACCACCGACCTCTTGGCGGAGAGCAGGAGGAGATTAATGCACAGGCACAGGACGTTTACTGCCGGCCTCGAAGGCGTCGGCATTCGTTGCTTACAGAGCAACGCCGGACTATTCTGCTGGATGAGCTTGAAGCCTCTGCTGAAAGACGCCACGGCGGAGGGCGAGGTCGAGCTGTGGCGGGTGATAGTGAACGAGGTGAAGCTCAACATCTCTCCGGGGTCCTCGTTCCACTGCACCGAGCCGGGGTGGTTCAGGGCGTGCTTTGCCAACATGGACGAGGAGACCATGGAGACGGCCCTGCGGCGGATCAGGACGTTCGTGCGCCGGGCGAACGACGCAGCTACTGCCGCCAAGACCAAGAAGAGGTGGGACACATCGCTTCGCCTGAGCTTGCCACGAAGGTTCGAGGAGATGACCGTCCTGACACCGCGTCTGATGTCTCCTCGCTCTCCGCTCGTTCAGGCCGCCACCTGACCTGTTGACCGAAACACAAGTGCTGATCATCTTCTTCTTTCTCTGCGCATTGGCCTCGACATTGACCGAAACACAAGTTCTCCGGATGTCATGAGGTTAAGTTATATTGATGTTTAGTTTTGATAGAAATAAAATACAAAGGAGTAGAATGTATTTATTAAGTTAAAATAATACAATACTCCCTATTTATACATATTAGAAGAGAGAATTTTTCTCAACAGATTTACAATATCTCTTCAACAGAGTTAAAGAGATCTCGATCGTTGTTAAGATTGTTATCATGGGAGATCTTAACTGTTATCAAGTTTCTTATAATGTTATCGTATAAGATCTCTTTCAAATTATAAGGAACAAGGAGAGGCAAAGAAACTGCTTCCATTCGAAACCTGTGTTCTTTCTTGAATGCGAGAGCCTCCGAACGGATTCAACGCTATCGGGTGACTTCGGTGGGAGTCGGACAGTCGATGTTTTGAAATGGAGAAAGGGTTCATATAATAATAATATTACGAGGAGTTATTTGCATGGAAAGTGGTTCACGTGAGATTTCAATTCCTGGGTGACAAAGACACACAACCTCTGCGTTCGGCATGTGCCGTCAACAGTCAGCATAAAATTATATATGATATAATTCAGTTTGTTAAATATTAAACCTAACCTATTCTTCGTGGATTGGATTGTCGAACATGGATTGAATTGTCTTTGAGTAAATCGCTTGTCGAACATGGATTGAATTGTCTTTGAGTAAATTGCTTGTGAGCATAAGTTTGACAAAATCTAATATATATAAATCTTTTTGAATATAAGTTTGACAAAATCCTTCCAATTTTTAATATATAAAAAAAGTTTAATATATAAAGGTAAAAAAGAAACCCCCCCTCCTCTTATGGTTCCCAAACTAAGATATTATTATCGGATTATTCTTTTTTAAATACCATGTTGATTGTATATGCTTGCATTGCAACACATCATCTGACTAGATAGATGAGTCTAGCCAGGTAATTATCATCTAATTAAATGGAGCCTCATGACCAATTGAGTATACATGTTAATCCTTAATAAGTTAGTTTACGATTCAAATGAATATAGTGTTATGAACTAACTGAAATTACCTAAGTTACGAGATAATCTTGTGATATCCATCCATGAAGAAGACATAATTGTAACCTCACACAAATCACAAAGGACATCAAAGAATAGAGACAAGTAAACTCCTATTTCTTCCACAAAATTATAATATTCAACAAACATTTGAAAGACAATAAAAAAACAAGAACTGTAAATCGTAAAAATATAACCGCAAGTCCAACAACACTTGCTTAACCGGGTGTCGAAAGGCTTGTGTTTCGAAATCAAAGCTACCAGATGATCTAAACAGTAATAACTAATAAATGTGACCACAATACTGCAGGTGGTATTTTTACCTGGATACATATCTCAAGTTAAATTAAGCCGCATCATAACTTATAAATTGCATGTGAAATCACACTAACAAAACATAATGAGAACATCAACTTTAGATTATGTGAATCTCTAATGTAAAATTTTAAACAATATCCTCCTATGCCATGCAAAAATAGGACATAAAATTGCAATAAGCTGTTCATGAATATATAAAACCTGATTGCAGAGAATCTGAATCTGATTTCAGTGAATTTCTAGTAAATATGGACAAAATCAGATTTGTCCAGCCAAAACGGAGTTGTGGCACACAGTCAAGCATCTATTGGTGAGAATAACTAGAGGAACTTATGTAGAAACAAGACAAAATTGACCCTGTTTAGGATGCTTGAAGTATAGGTCATGATATATGCATGATCAAAATCCTGGCCTTCCAACAAATGTCATGGATGCAGGACAAGATGAGATGGAGGCTGATAGATGTCCAACATGAGAACCCACTAGAGAATTGAGAAACCAAATATGTTTTCCAAACATCTATCTTATTTCAATGTAAATCTGAAGTCAAGAAGGAACTGACCATGCATACGAGGTAGTGTTTCACAGCCTTTTGACTTCATAGTAAACATGGACAAAATCTGATTTGTCGCAGCCGAAACCGGAGTTGCAGCACACAGTCAAGCACCTATTGACAAGAATAACTAGAGGAACTTATGAAGAAACAAGGCAAAATTGACCCTGTTTAAGATGCTTGAAGTATATTTCATGATATATGCATGATCAAAATCCTAGCCTTCCAACAAATGTCATGGATGCAGGACAAGATGAGATGGAGGCTGATAGATGTCCAACATGAGAACCCACTAGAGAATTGAGAAACCAAATATGTTTTCCAAACATCTATCTTATTTCAATGTAAATCTGAAGTCAAGAAGGAACTGACCATGCATATGAGGTAGTGTTTCACATCCTTTTGAATTCATCGTAGTACTGGATTTAACATAGAGAAAATTTGACTGCAACATAATGTGGATGCTTAGGTCACCAAAGACTAGAACACATAATTATAATAACAAAATTACTGAAACTTTTCTTCAGATGTATGATTTCAGGTCTATTGTATATATATAAAGGAGGAAAATGGTGGACAGGATTTCCCTGCAGCATCATTTGTTGACAAAAGGTATTACCTGGCAATGAATCAGATGATGAAATATATAATGTGGAAGATCCTTCCAAGTCTACAACTTTAGCCACTACAGTGCACTCGCTTCTTGTGAGCTGCATCACTAATCAAATTTTGTAATAAAAATTAAAATAGTTGTTACTAGAAAGAGACTAACAATCAACAATTCTAGCCTAAAATATGCACTCCCTCCTATCTCCTTGAGTCAGCACCAAGTTTTTCCAGTAACAGATGTAACCTCAAAGCCCATAAGAATTAGTTTCCTTAGGTGAGTTTCTTCAAATGATATAACTTGTTCATTGCCAAATGGACAATGAAGCTGGTCACACTGGAAAATTTTATGAAGCAAGCTTGCAGGTTCTCCAATCTTTCACATTCATGCTCAGTTGATGAGGCACAGCAGCTGACCAGGCATCTAAGTCTGGCAATGGACCAGTGAGAGCAAGATAGTTGTCACTATCTTTCTCTGCTATTCTTTTCCAGCTTAGCTGCAAAAAACCTTTTATTGCATCAGGAATGACTTGCAGAATAAAGGATAATATCGTACAAGAGACAATATATGCAAGAGATGACTATACAAAATGGAAGATTGCATACACCATCTTAAACACATTGCTTTTTCTAAAATGTTTCATTTTATAGAGTGACATACAATCCCATGTTCATCCATGGGAAAAAAAAAAACCTTCCCAACAGACATCCGAAGGCATCTACCTGAAATTTAAAGCCAAAATCTTACTGGCATGGAGGCTACAACCCAGTAGAATATACCTATATATATTTTTTGCTGAAAGTGTAGGAGTTACTCGAATTCTATAAGGTAGATGCTAAAGATATAAAAAGTGAATATATTTGGTCATTGCCCGAAGATCACTTAAAGCACTTGCCAGACATAGTCAGAGAGATGTTGCCTTAAGAAAAGCAAGCAACTGCCTCTCAGCCACGAACATATTTAACTGAAGACCTCAGACTGACTGAATCATAAAATCCTTTGCCCAACAAATTTAAAACCTATCTGAAAGACCAAAACAAAATTGATGCATATGCATCATCAGGTCAATAACATAACTGAATTACATAATGTGAACCATGATTGAGGATTAAGAATAATTATACCATTTGATAATTCAAGCACTTGATTCTGAAATCAATAGGAAAGTTCTAAGATCTGATCAAACACAAGATCCAGGTGTCTAAAAATATTGGCAAATCAGTAGAAACCAATGACCAGTGAATAAGGACAGGCAGCAACAAACCTTTCCAGGAAATGCTTGGCAAAGTGCCTTAATAGTAGAATTCTGAATCCAGGAACCATCCATATTGGCTGTTCCATCACCACTTCCAGATACTTCAGCATGAGCTCCACCACAATTTACCATGATACGACCCTGGGGCATCAATTTTCTCTCAATATCTAACCATGTAGTGACCTGTTATGCACATAAGAAAATATTATTATATTAAACTATGAAAGAACATAAGTCACAGTGAAAAGAAAAGAGGCCATAAAGGAAAACAGAGAAGAGCATAAATAAAATGAAAAAGAAGAAAAGTTAAGTAAAACAAGAACCAAGTGATCACCACAAAATACAGAATTTAAAAAATCCAGACAGAAAAGAACAAAAAGAACTTCTAGGTTAGAGTAAACATGGCAGATATAGGAGAAATATATTGGGCAAAAAAAAATACAACAAATGGATTTGAATCATGGTTTCCTTATAGATGGTCAGAAAGGTTAGACTGCCAACAAGCTCCAAACTTTTTGTATATGCCAGGAAAATAGTAGTATAGCATACAAAATGTGATAGAAAATACATGGCAACAACCACTTATAATATTAAAATTTTTCTCTTATGGAATATAAGACCTGAATACCTGAACCAATATATGCAACATAGAGCAAGCATGAACACAACTGAATCTTAAGTAAAATTATTATGGTAAAACTACGAATAGAAAGAACATGTTAAATATGAAAGAGAGAAAAAAGTACAAACCTCTTTTAGCTGCGGCAGAATTTTTCCATCGGAAAATAAATCCACAATGATTCCTGTATTGTGACACAACACAAATACAATCTTTATGAAAAACAAGATAAACTGGTTTTAAGTAAAAAACCAACTAATCAGCATGTCTTTGCAAAATTAACAGAAGATTAAACTTTTGACATGATTCTGACTGTAATGTTTTGCCTAAACTATGAATTGCAACTTTTATCATCATAAACATATCCATTTTGGACATTTTTCATTTTCCATAATTGGGTCAAATGTCTATTGGTGAGTTGATGCACCACATTTTGGTTTTCCTAGATTTATCATGGACCAATAAAAGTTACTGTGACTCAAAGATTATACCCTCTAATTATTTTGAATTATAATTAAATATTTTTAGAATTATTAGCATGGTTCAAGGTATTAGTCTTGACTATGATCCATATGACTATAAAAGTCCACTTTCGTCCAATCTCTCAGCCTGAGAACCACAAATGGGTTGGAATTGGAAAAAGTTGTTAAACTCAATTTTAATACCTCGAAGAACAAAAAAAGAAAGAAGGAGTTATAGTAAAGGAAAGGAATAAGGAAGCCGAAGCAAAATGCTGAAAAAACGAACAATCTAAAGTAAAGGGAAACATTGTTACTATGTTATATAAAAATTAAAATGAAAAATAGAAATGTTAAGTTTACATGAATGTCATGTTTCAAATGATGACAATATCATTTGAATAGATGCTTTCCCTTACTGAGCATATCCATTTACTCATCCTATTGTCTCTCAAGGTAATGATTTGATTGACCCATTAATTCTGGTGGAGATTGTGACTCAGAGGTTCACATTCATGCTTGGCCATGCTGTTTTAATAGGTAAATACATAGAATTTGCACTTCCTTATGTTGTTATATACTCGAGCTCTGTGCTTCCATGTTTCTGCAAGTGATACATGATCGCCATATGTATTTATATGATGAAATTTCCCTAGGCATACTTAGTTGTGTTTATGAGGTTATATCTTAGCCAACCCCATATAGTTGGGATACTATGGCTTCAAGTTGTTGAATGGAGTCATATCTTGTAGATGTAAAGTGTGTCTCCTGTAATATTTTGAGTAAGGCTTTTCCTCAGGTCTCAGGTTATAAACTAAAAAAATCAAAAATCCTGATAACAAAATCTTATGGACCTTTATAAGCTCTTGACAAGACCAGGACACCCAAAGTGTTAAGGGGTGTAACCAGATTAAATAGAACAAAATTGAAAAGAATTTTGCATAAAGAAAATTCAGGAACCACCGCAGAAAATAATATTAACAATAATATTCAAGGCCGTAGAAATAAAAGTACCAGCAAAACCTCCTGGAACTCTCACAGATTCAGAAAATGCATCACCAATGTGAACAGAAAGAGAACCACCAGCTGACGTGCATTTCTCTAATTCAGACAGACCAAAATACTCCCTTGCCATGTCAATCAGCTGCCATGAATTACTCACAAAAAAGGAAGTAAGTGTTTATGTGAAACTGTATAATCAAGGAAGTACGTGGAAGTGGCCTTATAAATACCAGACATTGTTGAAGTGTTAGGAAAGATAAAAGAACGGAATCTCATAAAACAAGTTTGCCACTGCCGGTCAACGTATAATTGTGCTCAGTAAATCAATTATTGACAAGCTTGCCAAAAGATCATTGACGTATATAAACTATTGCATAACATAAAAAATAGACCATCTTTTTAACTACCATCAAATTTTCAAAGACAACTTGCCATTGGTAATCAACGAATGGAGAATACCAGAGTTGAAGTACCTATTAAGCTTACAGTGTCTTAATTTTATGCTTATAGGTGTTAAATTAATAAATTGTTGCTAACTGTAGTGTAAATCTTTAAACTTTACTCCTGAAACGCTAATTACCATGAAATTCTTGCATAGTTGATTCAACAGAAAATGATATTTTCATTGTGCATTCTTTTTTGTGGATTTCTCAACATAAAGATTGTAACTAAATCATGAAATTGTCATTCCTCATGTCCAGGTCGATAAGTTTTGGCCAACACAGGACTGTGATTTCATGTTTTCTAGTCTAAAGAGTCAACTTTTTACTGCTCTTGATGACTTAAGATCCAATTTAATCTGAAGTATCAGTTTGGAAAGATAGAAAGTTTCTGTAAGTATGCATGGCAGAGTGCCATGTGATATGTCAAGGTCCCATACGGGGTCAGTTAAGCATCTAATAGTGCTGAACTGCTGTAGCATCCTACATTAAGGGTAAGCAAGGCTGATTCTGATTGGATGTGGCCAGATCTTGGCTGGTCTGATCCAGAACAAGCCAAATCCACTCATTAAGTATCATTATCTCATACATAAATTACTTAGATTAGTGTAATTTTTGAGAACTTTTCCTTACTATTTCATCAATCTCCCAACCTTCCAGGTGCAAGTTCGGCCACAATTTAAGCATTATATGTGCTGCTGTTCCACCACCCTGGAGAAATATCATAGTTCACTTCAGTATATGATTTCTTAGACATGAATAGTTGGGGAAAATAATTGCAGGCTTTCCACTAGTTGCAGTAGATTACCAAGCCTAAGATTGCAATTGGACCTTCTGGAACAATAGCAGGAAGACTGGCAAAATCATCCTAAAGAAAACACCAAGCAATCTAGTAAATATAACAAATCATAATTACTTGCAAAAAACTCGTGATAGCACATATGCATCTTAGTGTAAATTAACAGAATATCTTATGCACCAGACTATAGCTACCATCCAAGTGTATAAGAATGGATTTGTAGTTCTTAACATAGAGACAACAAAACGGCACTTGCACACATCCATGCGCACCTAAGCATAAATACAGCAGGTAAGAATAACATATATAGAAACAAGACATCCAAACATAGACATAGAGAGACACAAATACATACAACATGGTAAATAGAATATGCTATTGACTTTCTCGATAGAAGAACATCCACATCAAGTAATTTCAGCAGTTGAAAGATAAGAAATATCAATTTAATTCTACACTAACATGGTATTTAGTAACTAACTTGGGAAAATGCTAAAAGAATGTTGGATTTGGAAATATGGAGGAAACATAGAATACAAGGTCTCCTGGGAACAACATTACTTGCATAAAAATACACATGGTGCGTAACTACCTCCCATCAATTAAGATACCACAACAGACAAAATTGATTTATCTGATTTCATTATTTTCCTGGAAGCACTAAGAAAACATGGAACAATAAAGATGGAAAAAATCAAAGGAGAAGCCAATAAACAGGTTACGATAACGTCAAAAAATATCAAAAATATTTAAATGTGAAAATATCTTTTTTTTCTTATTCAAAGAAATTTTGAATTACACCATGAAACTGATTTTCTTTACGAATTTGCATCATGAAGCTGCAATTTTATTTTCCAAACATAGAATGAAAATCATGCAAGCGAAGAGTACGACGAATTCTGTGCATGATCTCGTTATCTCCCTTAATTCCTGGGACTCCCAACAGCATTGACAAATGCTGTCTCCATGACACTCTAGCCTTGTTTCATAATAGAATATTTTGCTGAAAGATTCCAAAAAGTTACCTCAACAATGATGATAATACAAATAATTAGACAGAAAAAAAATGATATACATCATACCCAATATGATCCTGTCAATAACTGCTCCTTGTTTAACATGCTGTGAATGTTATCTACAAAATAACAGAAAAACAATAATTATGGACAGATTAGGCAAAGATAGTGGTTGATCTTGAGACTGGAACTTTTAAGTGACTAGTCCATAGCATTGACTAAAGAAATCCAATTATAGTGTCAAAAGTTTCTTATGAATTTGCACAACCGAACATCAAAGATACTCAAACGATATTCAAGTGAATCCATTCACAAAATTCCTTCCAGTGTAATGACAGCAATAGACCTATACTTTAGCCCAGTGGACAACTTGAGATCTTTTTACTTCTTTTTCTTGTGCATGGTAGTCCCTTAATGCTATTATGTGTAGCATGGTTAGCTTAGATACTTTTCCAAGTATTACTACTTTACATATATTTAAACATAACAATACACGAAACATGAATCCCATCCACCTCAACATCTTGTCCACATCACCCTTCAATCTACCTCCTAAATTTCTAAGTGCAAGCAGCCAGCTATGGTCAGTCTCTACTTATTTAAGTGAGGGATAGCAAATGACATGACAAATAAGGCTATCAGCCAAATTATGCCTTTTAAATGCTACTCAAGGAGGGGTGTGTCATTATGAGGATATGAAGGATGATCAAACAATCCCTGAAAATAATCATCAGTGCCAAGTCAACTGCAAAAAGATGTAATGTTCAAGAACTGTTATGAAAGTCAACTGTGAAAAGATGTAATGTTCAAGAACTATTATGAACAAAAGAAGCGTTTATAGTTCAAGTTCTTCGTCGGGTCGAGGTGGGACAGAAGAAACTGCATGAACACAAGGTTAACATCCTACTCCTAGGAAATGTCTCTAAGTTCTCTGAACAGGAATGGGTTCAATCGTCAAATATCTTACAGGTTTCACAACCGATTCAGACCCTCAACACCAAATCCAAGATTCAAATTCAGGCATTGGAAAAAAGGTAAAAAAATCAAACCAATAAAAAAACGAGAGAGTGAAGAAATCCCGTCAAACAAGAATAGATGCGGCAACACATTCCATCGAATGTCTTAACGATTTCACAGTCGAAATTCATACTTTTACGGCTAGACTACGAATTCAGGAGCATGAGAAGCACCTACGGGTGGAATCGAGGAGCAGAAACCTCGAAGCCGGCGTGTCCACAACCACAATATCGTTGTGCAGGCTCGTGATGGCGGCCAGGACCGAAAAGGACGACTCGTCCTCCGTCGACGCCGGCACCGGCGCCGGAATTTCCTCCGCGTGGGAGGCTGAGCGATAATTGATGACTCTCCGGCCACAAGGAAGAGGACAGGACAAGAAGAGCGTCCTCGTGCCGGACTCGTGCCGACTCGCTCGGAGGGCATGGCGGCGGCAGTGAATCTTGGTGCGCACTCGAGGCGCAAAGACGAGAGAGAGGTGAGGAGGACAAGCTACCGCCATGGCCGTGACCATTGCCGTGGTTTGGCTCCTCTTAAGGAACGTTTCCTCTCAAGCTAAGGTAGGAAACGAACTCTCCTGCAATGGGCAAATTATCTCCTCACTCACAAGCTTGCTTCGAATTAGCAGATATATCAAATTTTCTTTTTCTTTTTTTTTAAATTGTAAACAAATTGGTTGACGATATATACATTTCTAACGACGAAACAATAAATTCTATTTACCATTAAATTACCAATAAATTCTAAATTATAAGCTAATTTAGAATAGAAAAATATAATAAAATTTATTTTTGTTAAATTATAAAAATATAATAGTACTTTAAATCGGTTTAAAGATGAGAAGAGTCATTTGGAAAAGAAATAAAAATAATATTTTTTAGAATATTTTTAGGAGGGATGTTTTGTGGAACATTGCACAATGTAAAGGGCATTTTAGAAAATTCGGCCTTATATAATTGATTTGCTATCCCCTTTGAACCTCTTCGTGCTGTCTACTCCAAAACGGTGAGCAGGCGAGTGTTACCATTGGGGCTTGATCCCTGTTTGATCTCAGACAGGCTTCAGAATCTTCGTTAGTATTAGCCAATAACTGTTTGCCACGGCACGTAAGACAAATCTCATTGCAAGTATAAATGCTGTACCCTGTCTTCGTAAAAGAGGTGATTCCGACCCCTTCGACAGGGACATGGACCCCACAGGTCAGTACAACTGAGCCGATAGAGACTTCAGAAAAATAAGAGAGCAAAAAAAAAAATACTAAAGGATTTCTCGGGACAACTGACACCGAGAGGAGGAAGCTCGAGGAAGGAGGGAGACGAAGAAGGAAGGAAGCGTGGGTGTTCGCTGAAGGTAGTAAGTCTTCCTCTCTTTGATCCCCCCGTTCTTGGAGGTTCCTTCATAATCCATTGCTATTGACCTCGGGATTCCTGGCTCGGAACATTTCTATGTTGACACTTCACCATCGAGCGCATTGATAGCGGTGTGATATTACTCCTACCGATTGTTGATCTTAGGTCTTCCGAAATTTGTTCTTAGAATGAGGTGTGACATCTTTTACATGCCCTTTGTCAAAACCCTAGCTGTGTCATGGGGTTTTCCCCCTTTTTGTGGACTTCTTGTTTCGCGCGTTTGGGATCTTGAACTACGGTGTTGGTGGTTGTGCTTCAAGTTGTGGAGGTGAAACATGGGACTTGGGGCCTGAAGAGACCATGGAAGTTCCTGTTGTTGCCGAAGCACTGAGTAATGCTTATGCATTGGTCGGAAACTTGATCGGATGTTTTCAGTATGAAAATGATTTAGGGTATGCACATTGGTGAAGCTCGACCTGGGTTAATATTCGTGGTGGAAAGTAAAGACTATCTTGATCACTTCTATGTTCAATTTGCTAGATTTTACGGAGACGATGTTTATTCTGTGCTTGAACTGAAAAGAGATTGAGTCACTAGGACCTTGTAGCCTCCACATAATTATCTGACAAGTATATGCTGCGTCCCCAATCTCCCACAAGAAGAAATAAAAATGAACAAGGGAGCCATTCATAATTTGTAAGTAACCAGCAAGCCCATGCATGTAAAAGGGTAAAGAATGAAATCATGGAGGTTGTAGCAGAATGACTGAGAAATGCTTTGATCATTCCTTTTTCATTATCCTTCTTGCTTTTGATTGATGGTCCAGTTCTAGCCTATTTTCTGGTCATGCATAATTTAAATATACACCAGATACATATGGTAAGTCCTTGTAGACTCTGTGTAAATCAGTATTATTCTCTTGCAAGAACTTTTTACAAAAAGGGGTCCTCCACCTGGATTCTTCCTGTATCCCAATTTATTGTGTTTTAGGATCTTAATCTCTCTTTCATATCTTTCCAACTCCCAAACTCTTCTGTCTCAGAAATTTTGAAGGATTTTTAAACATAGCTTTTCTTTTTTGTCTTTTTTCTTGAACATGTGATATAGCAAGTTATTCATGGTGGTGATTTCTCTAAAGTTCATGCTATCTATTTCTTAAAGGTACGAATGTGGAATAATTTGTATACCATCTGTTCAAATTGTAGGCTGTATTTTTATATATATTTAGCCATTTGATTTTATCCTTGTATGGTTGCAGCACATGGAACTCAAACTACATTAATAACCTTTCTTTTCTGTGTTCAGATCTGACTTCACATGAATCTGCAGCTATGCTCGTAGTTAATATCAAAATGTAGGCAATGGTTTATCAACATGCATATGTGGATAATATTCTTCTGCTTGTTGGCATTACAAATTTATCTCATGCTGGATGAAATCATGAAACCGCTATTCGAGTTCATTAAGCATGTAATAATGCACAATAGTATACTGCATTGACCAATTCATAAACACTTGTGATTCCAACTATAAGCAACCAATTCAAGAAATATATTGTCAGTTTCTGGTTCTTTTATGCATTACATGAATGGAGAAATAAAGAGTCAAGCCCCATGATTCTCCAAGCTCTCATGTTAAGGTCTTCTTCCTGGTCTGTCTATGAACTAATTCTGCCACTTATATGGAGCATATGCATCTGATTCTGTGTGAATCCGTTGTCTGATTCTCTTTGCTTCTTTCCATTTCTCATCTCTCATTTTTTTTCTCAATAATCAATTTCTTCAAATAATCTATCGAGTATCTTTTATTTGGCCAAGTTGTCACCATGGACCTTTCTCTTTTGTTAACTCATATCCATTTGTACAGACAATCACTAAATTACATACACATGGATGCATAACTATGTACTATGTTTGAAGAAAAAATAGTGACAATTCGTTTGAGAGTTGACAATTATGATTGTGCACAAAATTTAATTAGAATTTCTATTTTCGTAACAATTTTACATCACCAATGTGAAAATAAATTAGCAAGTGTGAATCTCATTGCAAACTAAAGGAAAGATACTAAACACAGACTTTTCTGATACAGAATTCATGAAGGCTTGTTTTTTTATTATAAAATATGTATTTCATTGCAGTATTTGTAAAACATAGCTGCACATTATTAATCACTCTGATGTTATTTTTGGATAGGGATAAATTTTTAGCTTTAATTACATGTGCAACGTGCACTTATGGCATTTGATCTGTGTTTCATTGTTGACAGCGACTTGACTTGATTGTATACATAGCCAAGGAATTGAATTTTTTAAAGGTAGCCGTACAAGGCCTGCAAGAAGACTGCATAGTGCCTTAGAGGGGTGCTGCAGTGGTCCCTTGGTGGTTTGTCTCAAAGAGAATGCTTCCATGAAAAATAGAATTTAGAGTTTGATGAGATGGATAAAAAATGAAGGAATTGATGAGAAAGTTACAATAAGGTTTCAAATATAGAGCATAGATACAAAATGTAGATATTGTAACATGTAAATAGATAATTTGATACGTTGCTAATAATTATGTTTAAGGTACTCATCTTTGCCTTTTTACCTTTATCTTTAGAGTACTAATGTGAAAAAAAAGAAAAAAAGCATCCTATTGGATACTTCAGGTAATATGTCTTTGGATCATGTTTAAGTGTAAGTTGTTGAGAACTTCATGGTACACAATCCTACGGATGATTACTGATTTAGCAATTTGATTCTTCTCAAATTCAGTAATTCCTGATAAGAAAATTCTTCAGGCAATATGATATATTCTTTTTAACATTGCGGTTATATCTTTTAAAAATCACTGAGATAATGCTTGTTAAACTATATCAATAACTTAAGTGGGATACCTTTAGGTTAAATATTCAAAAGTTTTTCCAAGTTTTGTTATTGCTGTGCAATTTATTATCTCCATACTGGTGCTATTAATTTTGGTGTTTTCTTTAGCTAAATCAATGTGGTTTATACAGAGTGATGATGATGATAATGAATTTGGCAAGTAGTTATCTTAAGAACAAATGAGTGAGGGGTTTTCATGACAACTCAGGATTGTGCATTAAGCATTTCTACCCCCTAACAATTAGAGGAAGTATATGCTTGTTATGAACAGCATGGTGATGGCATTCAGTTGAATTGCTTTTGAGGAGCTCATTTTACCATCAATTCTTCTCTTGTAAGCATTACATAGACTTGATTACACGTTTGTACTCTTTCTTTCTTTTGATAGATAATCTTTGAAATTTTATCATGGGATGTGGCTGAATGTGCACACCATGTTAATGCTTAACAGATAATAGAAACTTTGAACTCATCCTACAAGTCGATTGCGGTTATGGATGAGATTGGTCATAGGGAGAATGGGAGACACAAGAATGATCAATACAAAACAGCTCATGCACAGGTATTATTTTAAAAGAATTTTGCAGATATTTCTGGCCATTGTTTTTCCTGGTTTTATTGATTTTAATTAAGATGTTGAAAAGCTCAAGCTTAATAGAAAAATTCATTTTTTTCTTATCAGTGTCTCTAAATTATAACAGCTTCAATTGACGGTATGATTAAACCAGAGAATCACTTTTTTTTTGCACTTATCATTATTTTTAAAGTTGGCTTCACTACTCGAACTTAAAATTAAGTTCTAAACATTTGTAGTCCATTGTTATTTGCTTTTTCAGAATCTTTTATCTTAGTAGTGCTTGATTAAATTTTGTTCAATGACCATTCAGGATGTATGTCCATTATTTTTTCAATATTAGATACGTCAATTCTGAAATCTTGTTGTTGGTATTCTGAAAATGTTAAGAACTTCTTAAGTTGGATTCAAGAAACTGGGTACATAACTATCCAAGATTTAAATTCAGAATGAAGGCATTACTATCTCCATGTTGATCTTTGTCCTGAATTTAGTTTCTTAACTTTTTTCACTCACTTCTGACTTTCCTATTTAACAAATCAAATTAATTCCTTTTAGGAGAGAAATTTGGTTGTCTGGCCTTCAACAGTTTGTTTAGAGGTTCATAGATTTTTAGCTCCACTGCATATATAAAAGAAACCATTAGATTAAATTGGCATACGATGAGCATATGATACTTGAGAAGCTTCTTTGGCCTTTTCTATATGTCAATTCATATGATGTAGTGCCAACAGTGTTCCTACTAAATAAAATTAATTACTTACCGATATCTATATAGCTTCCTTTTTATCATGCTAAAAGTTTGCAGATAAATGA